GGAGGTTGAAGACAAGATCACGACAAAGCATAGAGAGAGGCGTAGATTGGCTCTTGACATTTGAGGGTCTGTATGAGATATCTATATATCTATGGAGACTAGCGATGTTTTGTAAAAGATTAGCAATGTCTGAGAAACTAGTGATGTCCTGTGAGTGATTAGGGATGTCTTGTGGCTCCAGAAGTGAATCATTCAAACAATCACCTTTAAACTTACAACTCATTTGACTGCTTTAACTTTTAGAAGTTTTAATCTATCTTCATGTCTTTTATTGCTGTTTTCTCATTTTGATCAAGGTTATCCAAATTAAAGTGATTTTGTTGAAGTGTCTGAGTCATTATAAGTACTGTATATTACACAACATTCCTTTAAACTTTGAACAATGAACAAATGTTTAAAATACACATTCAAATCAAGTACGATCACCACTGTTTGTGTGTATGTATGTAAATACAAATCAAATATTACAGTCAGTGACAAAAATATACACAGGCTTCAAACATACACATAAAAAACATGAATTTAATTTTATAAAACTGGATAATATGTATAAAAATACTAACAAAGCATTTTTATAGCCATTGAAAACAGAAAACCTCCAAAAACAAAAATAAATACACTTCAAACAATCATTTTGTGAATTTAGAGGTTTTATTTAATTTGTGACCATTTTTCTTTTGTTATCTTACTCTTGATCAATAAGATATGTATTCAAAACTTTAAAGCCCTTATTTTTTTAATAATCACCTCAAACATATTTTGGATCACAAAAACAATTGGGGAAAACAGTTGCCAACAAGATGGATCAATAAAAAGAGCACACTTTCTGAAATCACACAGACAGAGTTGATTCAACTCATCTGAAACTAAACACTCATGCAAGACGCTTCAGTTCGCATCTGTAACAACGTAACGGACTAACACAACCACACAATCCTTGAAAATATGAACTATATATTTATATTGTGTCCTCTCGGACTTTAAAGAAACATCACCTTTAAAACAAAGAGCTGCTGAACACATTGACAGAACTCGGTGTCAGACTGTGTGGAGAAGTATATGGCTTAGCACTTACAAATACATAACATTAAAACACACTTTAAATAGGACTTTAGATTGGTGCTTTCGAGCGGTTTGGTTATTTTGATTTCAATAAATTAATAAAGTGTCTAGCCCAGCTAGATAACTAAACAATGCAATTATGATAAGTCATGATTCCAGCCTGATGTTAAATCTGTTTTTATTTAATGCCTAAAGATTAAACATCTAGCGCACACTGAAGACCAGTAAAAAGGCTAGGAACAGGAAAGCTCTTATATACATCCCATAATCAAGATCAATGCAAACAGGCTATCGAAATCTGTGTAAACAGCGCCCCTTGGTGGCAGCGTTGGATTGCACAGGAGGAGTAAATCAGCCTGCAAGTTTACAAATTCCTTTAAATTTATTTACTCAAAATTCCCTTTGCAATAAACTGCAACAACCAGACAAGAAAGTGCAAAAATACGTACTCAAAACATATCAATTTCAGATTTTTTTAGGATCATCATCACGATCACAATATCTGAATTTTCTGCATCGAATGTGTGTTGGCAGTTACACTTTAAAACGCACAGGCAGAAGAAACACATATGATGTACATTTTGCATTGTGTATTTTGTGGCTTTTTGGAAAGTGCAATGAAAGTTTTAAATGATTGTTCTAAATGATTGTGGGCTTGTGCTATTGATCACATTTATATAATCATTTTTGTGTGTGTGTGTGTGTGTGTGTGTATATATATACAGTTGAAGAATTATTAGCCCCCCTGAATTATTAGCCCACGTTTATTTTTCCCCCGTTTTTGTTTAAAAGACAGAAGATTTTTTCAACCCATTTCTTAACATAATTTTAATAACTCATCTCAAATAACTGATTTTATTTTTTCTTTGCCATGATGACAGTAATTAATATTTGACTAGATATTTTACAAGACACTTCTATACAGTTAAAAGTGGCATGTAAAGGCTTAACTGGGTTAATTAAGTTAATTAGGCAGGTTAGGGTAATTAGGTAAGTTATTGTATAATGATGGTTTGTTCTGTAGACTATTGAAAAAATACATAGCGTAAAGGGGCTAAAAATTTTGTCCCTAAAATGTTTTTTAAAAAAAATAAAAACTGCTTTTATTCTAGCCGAAATAAAACAAATAAGACTTTCTCCAGAAGAAAAAAGATTTTCAGACATACTGTGAACATTTCCTTGCTCTATTAAACATCATTTGGGAAATATTAAAAAAAGAAAAAAATTCAAAGGGGGGCTTATAATTCTGACTTCAACTGTATATATTTATATTACATGTATATGTGTTTGAGAGCAGGAAGTGTCGGAGAAAGGAAGCTTGTGGTCAAGAATCTAACCTGACTAACAGATTTGACTACAAATAAAATTAAAGCTTGGTGTATGTTTAAAAAAGGCTGAGACTTTGCATTAAGTTTCACTGCTACAAATCACAACTTTGGTTAAATTAAACAGAAAAAAGGGATACGTCCTTTATAAACCCCCCATTTCACTGATTCAGAGGCAGAGACATCCACAGAGTACACAGATGCTTTCAGACACAGGAAAGTGGATGGAAAAGGAGACACTGATAACAAAACAGTGACCAGAGTCTGTGTCTGCTTCGTACAATTCAGTGCTAAAAAGTTTCAACATCTGTGATAACACAACTTCTCGATTTTAGAAAAAGCTTTGTCAGGGATTGTAAACCATCTAGAATGAGGTGGTTTGTCCAAAAACTGAATTACAGGCTCAGCCAATAAAACTGGCTGGATGTACGCTACTGTTCAAAGGTTTGGGGTCAATACGATTTTTTTTATACATATATTTAATTGTCTTAGTGTATAATGCTTACCAAGGATACATCCAATTGATAAAAATGACAGAAATATGGTTGAAGCCGAATCCCTTTTTGGTGTTTGGATCTATCAATTTATCTATCTATAGAAGCCCCCGGTCCTACTGCTCCCAATCTGGTCTGAGCTGGGATTAAAACTGCATTTCTTTGCATGGGAGTCGGTTGCTCTAACAAGAAGGCTAAAGACCATGGTCTCTAGCGTCTGTCACAAGAGCATCTTTAGAGGTCAGAGGAGTGAGGTTTACCTGAGTAGCACTTTGCTAGCTCGCCTCCATAACACTCACCCCCCTAAACCTCACTACCATCACGAACGAGCCCCCATGTGTAACCCACCAGTCCTAATGCACCCAACCCATTATGAGTTTGGATCAAAGCGGTTATTCTTTGCATGGCAGTCGGTTGCTCTAACAAGGAGGCTAAAGACCATGGCCCCTAGTTTATATCGCAAGAGCACCTTTAGAGATCAGAAGAGTGAGGTTTACCTGAGTAGCACTTTGCTAGCTGGGCTCCGTTACACTCACCCCCCTAAACCTCACTTCCATCCCGAGAAGGTCGTCATGTTTAACCCACCGGTCCTACTGCACCCAACCCAGTCTGAGCTGGGATACAACCGGCATTTCTTTACATGGGAGCTGGTTGCTCTAACTAGGAGGCTAAAGACCATGGCTGTCGCTAGAGCACCTGGAGGTAAGAGGAGTGAGGTTTACCTGCGTTGCACTTCGCTAGCTGGCCTCAGTTACATAAAACATCACACTTACTTTGTCATGTCCTTAATGAAATATGTGACCTTAGACCACAAAACCTTTCCAATGATGTACACAGATACAACAATTTAAAATCTGTAATCAGAGTTTTGATATAGCTTACAGACACCACTTTTCAGTCACATGATCTTTACTTAAAACTCAAATGATTTCTGTCATAAAAAATATTTAACCGGCATGGACCACGCCACACTTAAAGCCAGACTTTATAGTAACACTGTAAAACCCGACAGTCAACTTTAACAAATGAAATGAGTGAAGTTAACTCAAAATTGACTGAAAGTTAATTCTACTCATTTGAAAAGAGTTTTGAACTCACCGTTGCTATAGGTTCCCTCAAATGGTTTGAGTTGCCTTACTTATTGTGTTTTACAGTACTCATTTGGTTTGAGTTCTCTTCATTTATTGGGTTTTACTATGCTCAAAATGCTTCGTTTAGTCAAATAGATTAAGTTCACATCATTAAGATTAATTTTTTAACTTAAATGGTTTGTTGCAATCGGTTTCCTCAAATGATTTGAGTTACCTTAACTTTTTGGGTTTTACAGTGTAGGGATGGAAGGGATGGTAGGGGGAGATGAAGGGGAATGAAAATAAGAGGATAAACAGTGAACAGGTAGGTAGGTAGTCAATCAGGTGTCCTACAATGATGCCCAGAGATTCAGAGTGGGGGTACCCACAGAGTGGGAATCCCCAAATCAACCGAGGAGGCAAGAGAATGTTTAAGGATTGTTAGGAAGCAAGGTATAGAGGGAGGGAGTGCTCAAGAGAATGAGAAGAACAGTGCTAGAGGGCTAGTCTGCCTTAAATAAGTTTTAGGGAGTAGGTGATTAGTTAAGGAGGCTAAGTGAGGTCCTGCGGCTGAACTTTTGTTAACTACATAAAATTTTGACTCATACAATCTATTTTTGTTATATAACAAAAATACACCTGTGCAACATAGGACATGTTTGTGGTCCAGGGTCACATATATAAAGTCATCATAGAACAATTATTTATTTTTTAATCTTGTAAAAAAAATCATATGTGCAAAACCTAGTGGTTTAGTATTTTAGTATATTGGGTCAGCCCTGTGATGTATGATAATCATTATCATTAACATATTTACAGTCACTTTTGATCAATTTAATGTGTCTTTGATAACCAGAAGCACTAATTTCCAACAAGTAGTGTATATCAACAAGAACTGTAAAAAGCATTCTGGTAGCTGACATATTTCAAGCTCTGATTTTATATCTAAGTCATCGCCAAATCAATTCTACTAAGGATATGATGAAACTAAATGCAAACGAGCATGCAATCCCTTTACTTTCTAACATTAACTGAACATAACATCAAGGTGAATCTTAAAAAAAAAGTCTAATCAGCCCACCTCAGAAAGCAGACGAGCAGCTCACAACTGCTGTTATCACACAGAGGCCCCTCGGGGTCATTTCACAACCAGACGACACAAATTACAAGCACTAAAATAGAGCACCAAAAACAGTGTGCGCAGATCAAAGGACTGCGTTCAGTTTAAAGGCTGATGCTTATAACATGCTCGGTATAAATGCAAAACAAAACCCCACATGTCAGGCCTTTAATCTCCTAACAGTCAAAACAAAAGCAATAAACTCCAACAAAAACATATCCGACTGGGACAAATCCAATGGGACAAACAGCAGCACGGCAAATCATCAAATGAATCCTCACTCCCAGAGGAGAGTTCAATGTAGGACTCTCTGCCTCCCCTCGTTCCCGTTCTAATAATACACCCAAACAAAAAAAGAGGAGGCAGTAATGAGGGAGCTTTAGGGAGAACGGTGATGAGGAAGAGGCCGAACACTGCGGCGGCTTTCAGCCACATGAAAGTGAACCGAGCTCCTGCTGTTCTTATTGCTCTTGTCCTTTGCCCGGGTTCGAGTGGGCAGGAGCACCAGATAATGCGTGTTTGAGTGTGTACCCGCTGCTGGGTCCCAATCCAGCCCTCACCACTTAAAAGCTCAATAACAGGATGGTTTTGTCTTGGTTAGTGCACAGGAAGAGGAATGCATGATTTACTTAGAGACCCAAATCTTACGTCTGGCTCTTAAGATGGCAGTTATGTTCGCCCTTATGAGGCACTGTATATATACACACATGCATAAAGGTCTTTCAGAGAAACACAAAAATAAGAACAGAAGAAATTACTTTTGCATAGCAATGTAGTTCAAGTGCCTTTAGAATTGTTTTGTAGTACTTGCAAGATATGAATGCCACCGGGTCAGCAATTATAGCGTAATGCGTCCTTTAGGCCAAAGATAAAACCTTTTTTTTCCTATGGTGAAATGCCAACATCGGCTAAAAAACACAAACTACACAAACACCAAAACCCAAGAAGATAGCTCAACAGTGTTGTACACTCTTAATCCCAGAGTACTAAAATATTTAAAATATTTAGCATTTTAAGGCCCAAGTATACTTTATTCTCTGTGTCATTGTAATGTCTGCAAAGCATGCTGCATGGAAGGACATACAATACTGCATGTGAACAATTTTCGCAAACATTTATAATCCTTCTTAATGACAAAATTATACCATGTGCGAGATACTAGTGCATGCACTGACCATTTTCTGCAAATGCAGCTTGCACAAGCATTACTTTTTTGTTGAGTAATTTTCAACAAGGTTTCCACAGTGTGTTTTTAAATCTTTAATAGTTTCTTTCATCTGTTTTCTTCACACAAAAAAGATATATTTTTAAAAACGCTAGTTGATGGTACCCATTACTTTCTTAGTATTTTTTCCAACTATGGAAGTTGATGGGAACCAGTGTGAGTAAATGATGACAGAGATTTATATCCCTTTAACGGAAGAGCTTAAAAACACGTGAAGACTACAGTGGCAATGAAAACATACATAGATGAGAGTAGGCATGTGAGGATAACTGTTTTCAAGGTTTACCATTGTTTTGGAAAAGTCAAGGTTTTAAAACTGCTCAAATTGTCTGTTATAATGTACCTAAAGGTATATGCGAGGGTTTTTTAATGTGTTTTTTAAAATATGTTGTAAAGAAATCTGTGTTTTTGAAACAAATGCAGAGAGTAGAAGTCAATGATTAACTTAATTATTTTGCCTGACATGTTTACTGCTATAAAATATTATAAATGTTTCCTAATACAAAATGTACTTTCTTCAATAGGGGGAACAACATTTTTTTTTTTTACCCAGACAATACTGTGATACCACGAAACCATGATGCTTTTAATAAAGGTTATTCTACCGTCAGAAACATATACCGGCCCATGCCTAGATGAGAGACAACCATTAATGTGCACATCAAATGGAAAATATTTAGAAAGGCTACTCAAAATGTCTGTACAAAAACATGTATACTTTGGGCTTTAAAAGCAAAGGTTCTTCATTGGTATGGATAAACTATGTAGAGGGTTTAATACTCAATGTTCTTCTTTAAAAAAATCTTCTTTAAAGCGGGAGAAATAGCACAATGGTTGGTCTATTTTTGGATTTCTGCCCCCCTAAAAAAATAGTTTACTGAAGCCTTGTTTTCACCTATAGGTATGATTTATACAGTACAGAGAAATTTGTTTCCACTGCTAACGGTAGGCTTACCTGTGTGTCAGAAAGTAGCAATAAGCATCTAAGTGCATAGCAATCTCTCTAAAGTGAGACTAGCTCCACAATTACAAGACTATTGTGCTTGGTATTCCAATGCAGGGGTAAAAAGTTAGTAAAGTAAGGTTCTCCATTATGGTCCTATTCACAACTTCTGACGATGTAAATAACTGCGAACTGTACCATACTTTACAGAACTGTACCACTCGGTGGAAACAAACCATAAGATTCCAAGGCCCTATTTTCTATGACTAGACGAGACCAGCTCATTCAAATCTGTGTCCAGGCCAAGTACAAAAATGCTCCTGGATATATGGCGTTTCACAACTAGCTAGTTTGGAGCATTTATTTAAAAAAGCTGGTGCTTTTACTACCTTAGTTCAATTCATTTAGGCAAGCATGATCATGACAATCTGCACCAACGAATCATTTCCAAATTGCCTAAAAAGGCTGCGTCTGAAATCACATATTTCCATACTATATAGTACGATAAAAACAGTATGCAAGCCAAGTAGTATGCCAAAATCCATAGAATTCGAAAATCAGTACGTGAGAAGTACCCGGATGACCTACTAATTCTGAGGAGATTCTGAAGTGTGCATTCAATGCAGGTTGCGTTACCCCATGATGCCCGCGAGAGAATTCATGAATGGGAGTGAAGTGACGCAACTCACGCGGGTAGGTCACATGATATGACAAAATGTCGGATGTAGTACGCCCGAGTTTTATTCATACTACTCACACTCATACTGTATAGAACGTACTTTTATAACGGCCGGGTAGTACGTTTAAATTCAAATGCAGTACCTACTGAGTAGTATGCAGTTTCGGAAACAGCCAAAATGTAGTGAGAAAGCAACCGACCCAACAGACCAACAAATCAGTCTTTATCACAATGTTTGACGAATTACGTACACTGTGCAAGTTTTCCTAATGCCTCTCAAAATGAATGGTTGGTAAACCTGGTGCAAAGACAGGTCAAAGGTCTAAATTAAATAAAATCCAGATCGCATAACAAAAACAAACCTTGCCTCTTGCACACAATGATTATGCACATAACATCAGCTAAAAACAAGCCACAATAAGCCTGTCGTCTGTCCATTATGATGAATGACAAATTCATTCTAAACACATAAACAGGTGCAGGAGCAGTCTAACCAATGAAAGCACATGTGGCTTGCGTAAGCAAACTTTGGTCCATTTAGAGATGCTGCCTTGTGAAAGTGAGCTGAACCAAGGGGAAATGTTCAGAACGAAGCAAAAAATCTACAGGTGTAAAAATGCCCATGGACTTTGGTCTGGCTTCAATAATCTTAAACTTTAGCTCAGAGTCTCAAAAGCTCCAAGGCTTGCAAAACAGATGACTGTACGAAGACAAGAAAAATACAAGCACATCACTTTAAACACCGCAAGCTCTACCACAGCCCATCTTAAAGCATCAGTCATCTACACAGGACCAAAACAGACAACATGCCACCATTAGACAGGAAGCCACAGCAGTCTTTTAGCTCATTTTCAGGTTAAAATGTGGCCCACAGTCATGGTTATCTTACATAAGATAAGAGTGTCGTTAGACTTTGCAGGCACTTAGTTTAAAGTCAACGTGAATTGCAACACAGTCTTCTTCCTCTAATGCAATACTTTTTTAAAGAAAAACAAGACAGAGAAAAAACGAAGGGGGAAGTGTCCCATATTTAGGGAGAGTTATATACTAGAATGCAGCCAGCATGATTGTAAATTTGCTAAAACTACAGCCATTTATCTAATGGTTAGAATTATCCGCAGCCTGCACGGCCTCACTGGAAAAGCAGTCATTGCAGGGGAAGAATTTCTTTTTTGTACAACAGTATAATGCGAGTCTACACTGATTTCAAGTTGACTTTAAACTTCTATAGGCAGATTCATGCTCAGCCTAAACTTGCGGTCACGTAAAACAATATGCAATATCTTCTCTCATTTAAGGTGCAATCACAGTAGCGAAATCTCATTGCAAAACTGTAAACAGTGCATGAAGCAATGCTCCCTTAAAATCTATATTAAACTTTCCTGTTAGAAGACACCAAGTTTGTGTTAAAAACTAACACCCGATGCAAAACATGCACTGGAAATTGTCCTGCACCTTCGCAAAATTCCCAACTATGCAGAAATGATTGTATTTTGTCCAAGATATTCCAAAGGGCAAGACCAAACCATCAACTAATATCTTCCACTCCTTGAAAATGTGTTAAAGTTTAAAAGAAAAAATAAATAACCTGAGGAAAATCTCTCAACCGAAAATTCTAATAGCGTAAATATGAAACTTTCCTCTACCTTGTCAAGAGTTATACTGTAAAATGCTCGCACATAAACTATAACACCCAACTGTTGCTACTCTGATGGAAGAAGTCAAATATTAAAGTTAGATATGTGAGTCAATATCAGAAAGCTCCCCAGCACAATGGGAGCTATCATACAGTAAACTGGTATATCCTAAATATACCAACTATCTATTATATACCAAATTTCAGACAAGTCCATATAAACAATAAATCTCCTCCTAAATATAGTCTATTTAAAATACATATATATATTTTTCTTTTTACCCTTAAGCAAAGTATCTAGTTAGTCATGGCACTGAACAAGCAGACTTTGCTTCTATTTCCTTCAATCGAAGGTCTTGACGCTCCTTGAAGTGAAGTTTTCTATCCTTGACTGGATGCAGTGAGGTTTAGCCATGCGGGACTTGAGCCAAAAGTCACTCCATCTCCATCTACAGTTCTCATGGTGTGTATCTATTGCTAGTGATGAAATTGAGTTGGTCCTCACATGCAAATTCTTGAGTTGCACAGCCGTCAGAGCATAAGTAGTAAGAATGAGAATTACAGCTTATCCTGATGGTCTCCCAATCAGGGTCACTGTGTAAAAGTGAAGGCAGGTTGGGGTTCGCCCTGTGAGGGCTCGTCGTCAGGGCCCAAAGTGAGTGGTGTGCTTACAGGAGCCTGGGGAAGGTTGGCCATCTCTCCGTCTGTTGGCGTCTTATCCTGAGACTGGGAGGAAGAGGATGAGGAGTGTGTGCTTTCACTGGAGCTGCTGCGAGTGTCTGTGCTGGTGCTGGTCTTCTTCATCTTCCTGCGCTTGGCCAGAGGAGCCTTGTCAACCGTCTGGAGTCGGAAACCCTCCCGCTTGCACTTATTAAAGGCCTGGGGAAGACATCACAGGATTACATTACAAAAACTAAGCACAGTTATAACTAAGGGTCATAAATAATGATTCAAGAGGTCACACTTAGCTGATGATTGATTATAAAGAGAGAGCCCTGAGCTCATAAGATCCTCAAGCCTCAAGGCTACCTCCTGTTTGCAGGGCGAGAGGGGAGTTTGAGATCAGGTCTCGAGAACTCCCCCATTATTTAGAGCTGATGACAGATTATGAATTGCTATATAGAGATTTTTACAATTTTTAAATTTTAATTTAAAAAAACAAAAACATTTCAGGGTTTTCACATTTATTTGGATAGGAAAGTAGAGAATTGACAGGAAAGCATGGAGTGAAAAGAGAGGGGAAGGATCGGCATAGGACCACGAGGCGGAATCAAACTCGGGTCACCGTAAGCACCGGAGTGCATGTGTTGACCTTGGGAATTCTTCAAGGCGGAGATAACTAAAGTAAGAAACTTAAGCAAGTTATTTGTAGTGAGTTATAAATCATCTGATTGGTAAATCGTGCTTTAGTTAATGCAGGACCAGCCGTGATCAATCATAAGCACATGCTCCTCTCGAAATTAGTTTATAAATAAACTTCACTAACATTAAATTGAATTTTTACTATTTTACTTGTATCAAAAATTTTAATAACACATTACAAAAATAACCTTGCAAAAGTGAAATATTTGTCCAATGAAGACATCAAATGACACTGATATTTGGTTGTTTTTCGGTTGTGTTGCAAAGTGACTAAAATCCGACGTCGAGCCAACATCTTAAACCAACGTCATATTTATATCAAATACTGGCATTTATTCATCAAGTATGGCAAACAAAATCCTATGTCAGATAGATGTCATAGTGGTAGCATCCACACAACGTCAAACTGTAACATCATTTGACGATTGACTGATATTTGGTTGATTTTAGGTTGGACGCTGGACATTGACATCGACCTGACTTTGGTTTGTAACAACAACCTGATTTTCATTTTCAAACAAAAAGGAACATCCCTACGGTACAACGTCAATCTGATGTCATGCTGACGTCCTGTGCCTGCTGGGACTAATCTACAAAAATAATATTTTATATTATCATATTTTCCTGAATATAAGTAATTTTTTATTATTGAATTTGTGCTACAACTTATTTTCCATAGTGACTTATATCACGCAATTAATGTAAAGCAAGCAAAAAAAAAAAAAGCAAAATGTGCACAAAAAAAGTTTGAGCCTAATTAGAAAAGTAAATGACAATTTGAAAAGCACATTCTCATATACTGTGGCTTGTTTTACTCGACATTAAAAGTAAATGTTGTTTATAATAAATGCCACTATAATGTGTATTTGATCCATAATGTCCATTCCTTTTTTTGTTTGCTTGTAAATGTTTTGTTTAATTTAGTGATTGCAGTAGTATTTATTTTTTTTAAAGGAAACAATATAATGTGACATCTCTTATCTGGCATCTTGTATATATATCTTTTTTGTTCATTTTTTAAATTACAACAGGACAGATCTATAAAAGAAGCAGAGTTGGAAAAAAAAGTTGTAAAGCGCGACAGGATCAGGAAAGGTCTGCATGCCAGGACTCAGGACTCCCTCAGCAATGCTGTATACATATATTGGTGCACTGTCCACTAGGCTATCAGCGCTGACTTAATGCAAATTTGACATGGCTTAACTTATTAGTTCATGAGTTCAAACCCACACATAGATAACTGAATATAAACAATTGTATTTGGCGTGCTGTATGGGAAGGGGTCTCTGAGGCCAAAAAGACATTTGAGCTCGGGGAATTCCCATCGTTAGGAGAGAGAGAGGAATCTGAGCTCATGCTCTAGCCTGATCCCAGAATTTCCCAGCCTTCTTGCAGCCTTTTTGGTTTCTTACATTGAAGGTGGCTTTGACACAGGAGTGCACTGATATGGTAGAAGATCCCAGAATGTCAGGAGTCATAAGTGGGTTGGAGGACAGCTGACTGTCATCTTGTAGCCAGGTATTATAGCGTAAGCCACACATCTTTATCCGCTTGTCAGGGTCCACCGTCAGCAGCTCTGTACCACAGGAAAGGACACACAAAAGTTTCAATATTTATAAAACTGCATAATGATCTCTATACATCTCCAGCTGCGTCTCACCTTGTATTAGATCTTTGGCCTGACTGGACACATTTCTCCAAGCTTCACCTTCGAAAGAGAAGTCTCCTTGTTTGATCTTCCTCATGATCTCCTCTGCACTGGTGTGCATTAAGCTCTTCCCCTGACACTGAAACGGGACCTGTCCAGATAGCATGGTGTACTGCAACCAAACAAAGAACAAATGGGCAACTTAAATGGGGGGGTACCTCAAGGTTCTATTTTAGGACCAATTTTATCTTATTTGTATATGCATTTTATTGGGCTTACTTTAAAAAATCTATTTCTTGGACTAAACAGAGGAGACAAAACAAGAATTACAACACATTACCGAAGAGGGCAAAAACAATAGATGCCCACTTTGATGATAGCTTAGTATGATGCATTTTTACCTGTAAGTCCTGAACAGAACTTTTAAAGAAGGTCACGGTCCAAATTTCATTATAATATCTTTCAAAGATGAACAAAGGTGCATTAGGAACCACATGAGTTTCAATAAATCAGATTTTTGGCTAAACTAACTCTGTAAATGTGCTATATTTAGAAATTAGAATATATAACTGCGATTTTAGTATTAAAGTAAATGTGAAAATTAGTGAAAGGGAAATAAGCTACACTGCTCTTGTCTCTCAGTACTCTCAGTCTATCTCTGTGCAGCGCAAAGCTCCAGGGTCTCTCACTCTGTCAGAGATCATCACATCAAACTCTTCTGCACTACTCTCTTCTCCCTCCAGCCAGGTCCTGCTCCCGAGTATAGAGCGAAGCAAAAACCAACCCACAAAAATAACTCAACTTTGGACATCTCCCCTAGGCTCCATCTCGCTATCTCCTCTCATCTTTGTCTCAGTAAAGTCCTGGCTGAAAACTTCCGCTTAAGGGTAGCTACTATGACTGCAATCTGCAATGCTAAGCTGTCCAGGAAAAGCTTGATAGCTTGTTTATTTTGGTTGGTGTTCAATATGTGTCAAAAAGCAAGACACAGATACATATCCAAAAAGGAGCAAGTATGAATGAGGATAAAAGCTGCAATGTGAATACAAAATAGCAAGGCATTTAGGCAGAAATGAAAGAAAACCCTCATGTGTTCAGACAAACTACACTATTCAGTATTTTATCATAATTAAACAAATACAACACTGCTTATTTGATTCGTATCTTTCTTGTATTTTGCATTTATCTATGCTTGTAATTTTTTTAGATGCACTCAAACCCTACAAAATAACAAATTCTTTTCAAATAAAGCTATTCAATCTGATTTAATGCTCACATTACAGTATACAGCGGGAAAAACAAGTATTGAACGCATCATGTTTTTTTTTCCTGGGAATAATATTTTTAAAGGAGCTGTTGACATGGAGTTGAACCAGATTTGTAAAAACCCAAACAATACAAACATAAAAATAAACCTGAAAAGTGAGTTATGTGTAATAACAATGAAATGACACGAGGAGAAAGTGCCGAACTACAGAAACATATTTAATACTTTAGTAAAAAATTACTAAATTACAAAAAAATTACTAATACTTTCCTTCTTAGACTTTACTGACCTGAAACTTGCCTATAGCAATTATTCATTGTTGCTCTTATAGTTGTGTAAATTGCTTTCTTGTCCTCATTTGTAAGTCGCTTTGGATAAAAGCGTCTGCTAAATGACTAAATATAAATGTAAATGTTTATATAAAACCTTTTTTGGTGATGGCAGCTTAAAGACGCCTCTCATGTGGAGAATGAAGTCACACGAATTGCTCAGGTGTGACTGCAAGAGTGTAAAAATCTTGATGGTTCTGTGTGTCTTGTCTATCAAATCTGATCTTTAATTTGTATTTTACATTGGATTCAAATCAGGTGATTGGCTGGGCCATTCTACAGCTTGGTTTCCTTTCTCTTGAAGCATCTGAGAGTTTCATTGGCTTTTTTGGATCATTGTCTTGCTGAAATGGTTTCATCTTCATCATCCTGATAATGTAGTTGTTGGACTGAAGCAGCTAATATTCATTTACACTGATAAAGGGCAGAGGGTTGTTGAAGAGCTACTGAGCGATTTCAGCTGCTGTCTGGGCTTTCACTGCCTTTCTAAACCTACTTTTCTTCATGTGTTCAATACTACTTCCCTGTGTCATTTCATTTTATTACATATAACTTAATTTGTAAACTAATTTGATTTGTTTTCTTTGCATCTGGGAAAAAGTCAACGGCACCTTCTGAGAAAAATGGTGACGTGTACTTATTTTCCCTGCTGTATATATAGCAGAAAAACTCAAGATTATAATTTTCAGTCACTCTTTATCCAAACATTGAACAGTCCTACCCTAAATCTGTAAAATATTTGTTACAACATGCATTACATAATATTATAAAAGGAAACAAACATCAACTTATTGATCAAGCATTATAACTGACAACTGACTTTACATCCAGATGTCTTCTAAAGTAGCAGCCTAACTGAAACTCTACTGGAAAACATTATTGCTAAATTCTAGAAAGCTGCTTTTTTAAGACTTAAGTCAATCTGAGTTTAGGCAAACTCTAAGCATTCAGCAACCCTACTGCCTTTTACAACTATGTAAGGATTACAGGAACAACATGAGTATAGACCTTACCAAAATGACTCCTAAACTCCAGAGGTCGCAGGACTCGTCGTAACCACTGTATTTGAGGATTTCTGGTGCGGCATACTGAAGAGTGAAGCAGGGGGTCTTCAGGAGCTGATTGTCAGGAGGTTTGAGCCGTGCAAAACCAAAGTCAATAATTTTGATCTCCGAATTCTCAGTGTCATCAGTGAAGAGCAAATTCTAGGAGGAGGAAAGTGAGACTAAAGAACATTTCCAATACACTATGAAGAAGTAAAAGTCATAAGTAAGCCATGATAAATTCAATAAAATTCACATCAAATTCAGATCAATGGGATGGCAGTTGAGCTGGTCTCATCCTTCAAGTTCCTGGAGACTCACATCTCAAAAGACCTGTCCTGGACCACCAACATCTCCAGCCTTGTCAAGAAAGCTCACTAGCGCCTCATTTTCTTAAGGCAACTTATGAAGAACCAGCTGTCATCAGCCGTCTTGGTGAGCTTCTATCGCTGCGCAATAGAGAGCATCCTAACCAACTGTGTCACAGTCTGTTATTGATGCTGCTCTTTTGCTGAGCATAAGGCACTGCAGTGGGTGGTGAAAACTGCCCAACGCATCACAGGGACCACACTGCCAGCCATAGAGGACATCCAGAAGAAACACTGTCTGCGCCGAGCACGCAGTATTCTTAAGGACTCCTCTCACCCTGCCCACAGAATGTTTTCTATCCTGCAGGCGCTTCAGGCTCCCCCGGACATAAACAAGCAGACTGAGGAACAGCTTTTTTTTAATTGTACATACCCACTGTAAATATACATTTGTAATTATGTTAATATCAGTCTGCATACCTCTGATTATTAATAGCAACCTGTGCATATATTCATCTATTGTAAATCTCGGTTCAAAGCTAATGCAACCTGTATAGAATGTTGATAGTACATTCATCTGTAAATATCACCATAGTTTTTCTATAACAGCACATTATAACTTATACCTGTATCCTGCACTTGCTGCTATTGCACTCCTGGTTAGACCTAACCTGCATTCCATTGCCTTGTACTTGTACATTTCTAACGACAATAAATTTGAATCTAATCTTATCTAATCTAATCTAAATTCAGTATTCACCAGGCTGAAACACAAGAAGCTATAACAAATATAGGCAGATGTTTCTTGCAAATGTTTCTTTGTAATTAAGCAAGAGCTGTCAATCCTGAAGCCTAACTACTAGGTAGAATCCTGTCCAACTTGTAGTCTGGGGCCCCTTGGTCTGGAGTGCTGTGACATCTGGGCTGTATATCTATGATAATTACAGTGGAGTGTGTTGTACCTCTGGTTTGAGGTCCCTGTGCACCACGCCGACGTCATGCATGTGGCTGACGGCAGACACCAGTCTGCGCATGATGCGACTGGCCTCGGTCTCGCTGAAGAGTTGCTTCCTTCTGATCCGCTCCAGAAGCTCACCACCTCGCAAGAGTTCCAGGACAAGATATGTGTGCAGCTAAACAAACAGAAAATCACCCCGTTAGAGGGTCTAGTCACTTAGTGTTATGACTCAGTGCGCAGATCCTTTGAGCTTGATGCTCAAGTGAGCATTATGGGTTAGAGTCTAGACTCAAACACATCCTGATTTGAACACATCAAATTTTTACTATGAATTGCAGACACTTTCTACAGAATTACTCCTTGAGGCTAAGTTGGCACCAATATTTGTACTAAAAGGCTACATTTACACTGCAGATCTTGAAGGTCAATTCCGATTTTGTGACTGTATCTGATGTTTTTGATGACCCACTTATATCATCTTATAAAGGTGACTCGTATTTGACTGTCTGCATTTACACGGCACACAATAGCTATGTTTCTCTCCATAAATCTGAATTAACTGTATGCACAAAACTGAATTATAAAAAAAAATGTGCGAATGAAGCAGCGTTTCCATCCAACGAGTCAAACCGAATAAAATCGTCACTTCCTGATTATCTCGCGCCAAATATAAACAGTAAGAACAGAATTTGCTGCATTAAAAGAAGCTGCGTGAATCTTTTCTTCATTTAATAAATGACTTGCACCTCAGAAGACAATCCTGAGACGCAGTAAACAAACGGTGGTCTTTGAAGGCGTGAGATGCGGAGCGCAGATGCTCTTGATTCTGGAGGTAATTAACAAAATAATAGCTCTAATACTGAGATGGTTAAGGCATTTTAGAAATGCCAAAACAACACTTTTAAAATTTTTTACAGTGTGCTTAGCCTGCTGGTTTGTCCATTGACGCACATTTTTATCATCACATTATTTCATATAGCAAAATCACATGACCTTATTTAATGCACATACTGGAATTTGTTCGATAAACAAATCCATCATAGTTTAAGCGCATCTTTTATCATCGAATAAAAAGTTTATCCTACAATGCGAATGTTTTTTATGCGCATTTTCAAAATTTATGCACATCTTGGCAATTACATGAACTGATTTTTTTGGTGTATATCCAAAATGCGCATAAAAATTGCTGGTTGGAAACATATCTAGTGACAAGACGTTATAACTAGGAAAAAAGGAGTGGGCACTAACTGACTGCTGATAATAAAAGAGGGCTCTTTTCTCCATTTCTGTACTTAACCTGTTTGCAGGGTTTAATGTTGTTTTGCTATAGTTTATGACAGAAAGGTTCTCACTTTGGCCGTCCATGGCATGATTCAGGCAAGTGATGTATGCAACAGTTTTATTGTTTACGTGGCGGATGTTGCTCTTTCTCTCTCTCGCTAACATGCTTGAATACTTGTGCTATATGATAATATAAATGCTTTTTTTGTTTTAGTATATGAGATTAAGGGGTTTGGGACTGAAGTCTGAAGTCTGCTCCAAAAGGAAAGCATCAGACTTAATTTTTTAATGATGCGCGACTGGAATTGCCAGGTGAAAATCCGAACCATCTGCATACACTGCAGACACGAGAGCATGGATCCGATTCATATCGGATTTTCGTTCATTTATTTATTTTATTTTCAGCTTAGTCCCTTTTTTAATAAGGGGTTGCCACAGCGGAATGAACCGCCAACTCATCCAGCATATGCTTTATGCAGCGAATGCCCTTCTAGCTGCAACCCATCTCTGGGAAGCATCCATACACACTCATTCGCACTCATACACTACGGACAATTTAGCCTACCCAATTCACCTGTACCGCATGTCTTTGGACTGTGGGGGAAACCGTAGCACCCCGTAGATCCCCACGCTAACGCGAGGAGAACATGCAAACTTCAAACAGATACACCAACTGACCCAGCCAAGGTTTGAACCAGCGACCTTCTTGCTGTGAGGCAACAGCACTACCTACTGCGCCACCGCTTTGCCCTAATATCGGACAAATTTTCACACATGAACCTGAATCTGATTTGAGTAAATCGGAATCCATGGGCAGAATCCGATCTGTGCCACTTGGGAGAACAAAATCGGAATTGGGTCACTTGAACCATGCAATGGAAATGCAGCCAAAAAGATAAGGAGGCAATGTATTGAAATAAAATACTAAATGAAATCTTTTAAAACAATCAAGATTAAATGAAGTCTAAAAAGCATCTACTGCATCATTACGACCATTATAAACAGTTACACATATATTTCTGTTAAGCATGTAAATGCAATGGCTAACCATAGGCATCTACATTGACCTAAAACAAAATGTGCCATTACAATGTAAAAATGAGATTTTATTTCTCACTGTAGAAACCTTCAGTGATTATAACAATCAGTGAGTTTTTGTGAGAGTGCGTAACATTTCTATGTAAAGCTGTACCATATACAGCATCTCTATTAAACAATTGTTTGAATGATCATGATACATTTTAAAGGACTGAATCTTGAATTTGAGGCTCGAAACATATGAAATAAAGTTTTACCATTTTCTGGGGAATCATTCTCACAAAACAGTATGTTCTGCGAGCCTTGACATTCATGCTGCCTTGACCATATTAATGCTATATGGATCTACTCACAATTACTACATAGAGCTTAGAAATATGGCAAACATGTATGATATCTGAGCAATTAAAAAATAAAATTGCTTATGTAAAAATCCAATGCAAGGGCTAAAGGAAACAGAAACTGTTTCTTTGCACAATAATAATAGACTCAATCATACTTCATGTATATCTCCTGTATGTAACAATACCTCTGCATCATCTTTACCTTGATTGCAAAAGTCAACCCTCAAGACTTAGTTTTAGTCCAGACCTTGGCAGTGGTTCATTAATATACTTGCCATTTGATTGCATTCACCAGTACCTCTTATGGTTAAATCCTGTCATATCCCTTTATATTTAGAATTAGTAACTGGCTAAACTAAACATTTCCTGATTTCTCTATTACCCCAGAGCACAACTGAAGACGTGTGGTGGACAGAGGTAACATATATGGAAGAGATTTCTCCTCATATTCAATTGTCAGTTTATAAAACTTTGTATAATTATTATTATTATTATTGGCTTGTCTTCTGTATATAATTTAATACTAATTAAAAAAAAAAAACTTTCATGCTACTAAAATAACTAAAGGGAAGTCTTGATTTTCTTGTGTACAAACAGCAATAAACTAAACTAAAAGTGTTTAACTCGTGAACTCTACAACCCTGTTTTTGGAGGCAGACCAGCACTACACTTTCTCAAGCTCTTCCTAATCAAACACACCTGAATCAACCCATCAGAGACTCCAAAAGCTGAAATTAATGGGTCAGATAAGGGAGACATCCAAAATATGTAGGTTTGGTGTTCCTCCAAGAATAGCGATAGGAAAAACTGTCCTACAAAAGTATGCAGAGTAGATTCCCCTCACAGAAAACACTTTTGATTCATTCATTCATTCATTTTCTTTTCAGCTTAGTCCTTTTTTTCATCAGGGGTCGCCACAGCAGAATGCACTGCCAACACTTTTTATGTATATCATTAATGATTTATCCAATATGAAAAAATAAAAATAAAAATAAATAATAATAATAATAATAATAATAATAATATAATGATTGGTCAGAATACTACAGCTCTGCTTATAAAAAAATTCATGTTCTTATTATTAATATTTTATATCATGTGTTTTTCATCAAGTTTTTATTATTATTTAAAATAAAATAGATCAATATAAAGCTCTGATTCCAAATCTAATCTTAATCAGAATATGTGGTTTCAAAATAATTTAGAATCTGCAACTCTATAAGCATGTTATTGAGCAAAAGCCAAAATTTAGCCTCAAGTTATATTTTTGTGGTATGAAGTCAGTTTTGATGAGCATTAATTGAAGTATGTTTTCAATTTGAGAAAAGTAAGATTTTGAAGAATAGACAACGGTGCCGTTGGTATAAAGGTAAACCAAAGAATTTGAAAGAATCAAAGGAAGATTGTTAACAAAAAATAAAGAGAAGAGGACACAGTATTGAATCAGAAAGGGCTTCAAAACACATTTTTTGAGATGTTGACAGTTATATATATGTCCCACGTTACTAAAAACACTATTAGGACACATTTATTTAGCTAACAAGTGAAAATTGTTTGAAGATGTGTTCGTCAGTGTTGCGTTTATAAATGTGCCGAAACAAACATTTTGTTTCCATTTTCCTGCAATCACTGTCTATCTCTCCTGTGTCTGTGTTTTTGTTGCCGCTGTGAAAATCAGTGCATGCATTTACTGAAACTCCCCTTTTTATGTAAACCCTTCCTTTTTTTGCCACTTGACACTCCTACCCAAACAAAGCTGGACTCATCCTGACTTTTTACAAACTAGAGGTTTGAAAATACCCTGCTGGAACAGGGGGGTTTCATGGCCCTTTAAGGTACACCTCTTTCTTCAAGATAGTGGATTTGTAGTAATGTAAACAAAAAATAATAATCTAATTTTGTAAACATGTAAATACATTCATGTCACCCTTGAGCAGCATAAACAGCCTTGATGAATAAACAAATGCAACTTCAGCTTCTGTTCTGATTAATCTAAAATTACCCCTAAAAAGATAATCAATCTGCTTAATAAAACATAAAATATAATACAAATCTGACAGATAGAAAATCTGACAGGTAGATAGATATTACTTTACTTGTTTGTTTGTTTGTGTTTTGTTTGTGTTTAACACACTGGCTAAGTTGTTAGCATAACAGTCCAAAGACATGTAGTATAGGTAAAATGGCGAAACTAAATTGGCTGTAGTGTGTGAATGAGAGACCATGTGTGTGTTTTCCACATTGCGTTGCTGCAGGAAAGGCATATGCTGTGTATAACATAGGCCAAAGTAATTGGTGGTTCATTACACTGTGGTGACCCCTGATAAAGCAGTGAATAAGGAAAATGAGTGAGTGTTTGTGTTCAACATCATGCCAGCTTCTGTGGCTATTTTCATCCATTCATTCATTTTCTTTTCAGCTTAGTCCTTTAATTAATCTGGGGTCGCCACAGCGGAATGAACCGCCAACTTATCCAGCATATGTTATATGCTCATCCAGCTGTAAGCCTTCACTGGGAAACATCCATACACACTTGCACTACAGGCAATTTACTTACCCAATTCACCTGTACCGCATGTCTTTGGACTTGTGGGGAAAACCGGAGCACCCGGAGGAAACCCAAGCAAACACGGAGAACATGCAAACTCCACACAGAAATGCCAACTGACCCAGCCAGGGTTTGAACCAGCGACCTTCTTGCTGTGAGGCGATTGTGCTACCCACAGCGCCACCGTGTTGCCCTGGCTATTTTCATGGTGAGATAATGTATACCGCAGTTATATTACATAAAGTTTTTACAATTTCTTACATTATGTTACATAAAGCCGTCTATTCTGACACACAGATGCACATTTAATGACAAAGGCAGAAGGGCTGCAAAAACGTTTGGCAAAGGTTCAGGTTTAAGATGATTTTAAAAATGGGCTTCAGTCTCATTACGCGCTGAATGAGTGTGAATAAGTGAACGGCAAAATAAGTGTTTGTGTGCTGCATGTGGGTGGGATGAGACAGAAAAGACTGTGTGTGTGTGCGAACGAAAGAAAAAAGAGAGGCAAATGAAAAAGAGCAAGCTAATATCTCTCATTATCTCTGGTATAGAGGAACAAAGACCCTGACGGGGCAGGGCGGCTCTGCTTTTCATCTGGGGCACGGCACTGGGTACAGACGGTGGGGGTTGATAACCTCCAATTGACAAGTTGGCAACGCACACACATACACACTTTTTACAGATCTAAAGAGCTGCCCAACTGACTCAAGCTTATCATGCTAATGAATAGGACGATGGATTAGGATGTCTGAAACATAGTGGAATATACATACACATGTACACTTTTATGGCTAAAGGCCTAATAAACTAGAAACAATGAAAAAATTAATAATAATATTAATGATTAAAACAAAATATAATAAAATTCTGAAGGTTTTGGTGGTCAGCAAGATATATTTTTGAAAGAAACCACTCCACTTCAGCAAGTAGGCATTAAATTGATCAAAAGTGACAGTATATCTTTATATTTTTTTATTTTGCATATTTATTTACATCCGCTGTGTAAAACATATGCTGGATAAGTTGGCGGTTCATTCCACTGTGGTGACCTCTGATAAATAAAGTGACTAAGCTGAAGGAAAATGAATGAATGAATGAATGAATATTTATTTACTTATTCATTCATTCATTTTGCTTCGGCTTAGTCTCTTTATTAAACAGGACCAGTTTGAGTGTTACTGCTTGAGTTAGTTCACTTCCCTTTTGTTGGAAATAGGCTAGTTTTACAAGTCCCCTAAAGTTAAGCAGTTGGGTTTTACAATTGTTTTAATCCAGTCAGCAGATCTCCAGATCTAACAGTAGCACTTTTAGCTTAGCTTACCATAAATCATTAAATCAGATTAGACCATTAGCATCTCGCTCGCTTAGCATGTCTTCCTACATGATGTCCCTACAGAAGAGTCAAGCTTTAAATAGTAAAACGATCGAAATACTTAAAAAAAAATTTTTGATCCAGACGCTAACGGTCTAATCCAGTTTAATGATTTATGCTAAGCTAAGCTAAAAGAGCTCCTGCCAGAACCAGAGATAAGCTAAATAAATAACTTTAGGGGATGATAAATTCTGATGATGCACTTTTTTATTCTGTTGCATTTTGAGCACATCAAAAAATGAAAAAAAAAAAAAACTTTAAATAAAAAAGAGTGCAAGGATGATTATTAAATCACTAAACAGGATCGGTTTCACTGTTACTATTGCTTCAGTTAGTTTTAACCTTCTTCAGTACCACATCTGATAAAGACTAGTCAGTAACTGAGACGAAGTACAATGAAAAGGAAGAGGCGAGTTTATGAACAGGAGGGAATTAAATCTGGGGCAGGTGCGAGGACAAAGAGAGTTCAAACTTATTCAGGCTAGCCCAGTTCTTTGACTGAAAAAGCCTTTGATGTGCAGCTCTAGGTTTCAGTCTCAAACCCTGTCATACCTGATCATGGTAGATCTCATGTAGCTTTACTATGTTGGGGTGTCCATCACACAGTTTCAGAGCTGCGATCTCTTTCTGCGTCTGGGCCTCCATTCTGTAAAACAATCAATGAATGCTACAAATCACTTCCATATTATGATAAGAATTCATTTTAAATACAACAACAGGACTGTTAGTAAGCCCGTACCTTTTACTGACGATCTTTACAGCATATTTCTGTCCGGTTTTCTTGTGAGTGCACTGCCTGCAGATGGAGAAGCTTCCCTCTCCCAGAGCATTATGCCTCAGGTCCATCTCATAGTTCATGTAGAATGGAGAGTCCTACAGTCAGTTTGACAGAAAAGTGAAGGAAAGATATCAAGTTACTTTAGACTGTGTACTATACATCTGTACCTTTTATTTTCCCCCCAATATGTACTTATAATGTTAATTAGCCTATTTAGCCCACTGGAAGCTATAGTTGCCATGCAATTCTTGCTGACATCCAAGCAAATAATCAAATAAAATATTTCAAGAAAGAAAAAGGAATTGATTTACTTCCTGTCACATGAGGCCTTCAACTTTCTACCCCTAATTACAGGATTAAAAATGGAGACATACGTTCCCAAATAAAGGAAATTTTCATTCGTTCATTTTCTCATTCATTTTCTTTTCTGCTTAGTCCCTTTGTCAATCTAGGATTACCACAGTGGAATGAACCGCCAACTTATCCACCATATGCTTTGCAACCCATCTCCAAGAAAAGAAAATTTTCATGTTACTGAAAATTATTTTTTGTTCACAAATGTAGATCAACATAATCATAAAGGTCTGTAGATTCATCCAAATAAAACAAATCTTTCAAGAGATCTATAGTTTTTTGTATACTTTGACAAATGTTTAAGCGGCAACTATAGTTGTCGGTGGGCAAATACCTTGTAAGTACATAAACCATGGGGAATTAGTGAATAATGTGTTAATAAGTTGATAAATTAAGGTTATTTGTCTTGTTTTTTAACATTTTTGCTTTCATAATACGCCATCCATACATAAGTTAACAATTAAACTAATATCATTGTTTTCAAGTAGCCTTTTTTTGATACAAAATTTGACACACAGCAAAATCCTCAGAGTAAAATGAACATCTCCCACTGGTCCCACTCCAGCAAAGAGTTAATATAACACAAGAGCAGAGTTAAAGTGCTGAGTGAACAGAGGGTTTTGACTAAATGGCATTTTTTTCTACACAAAATGCAGTATCAGGTTACTGAAAACCAAATTTTTTAAGCTGTTGTAAGGGTGAAGATTTTCAAAAGCGCTAGGGTCTGTGTTATTTAGAAACCTGAGGGAAAAAAAAAAAAACGTTTTTGTTTACAAAAATACCTGTGTATGTGTGGACATGGCCTTAAAAAGTCATCTGAAAACTCAGCTCAGCTCATCAGGATTATTGAACAAATCCATAAACAGAATCAGCATATTTATTACTAAGTTGTCTGACTATTTCTGTCAGATGTCTACAAAAGTCTGTAGTGAGATTTACTGAAAATACTTGTTTAACTTTTTTATTTGTCTTTTTGATACAGTAGTCTGTTAGGGAAACTAGCGTGAGTTTCATCACTTTAAGACAAATAGATTAGTTGTTCGAGGGATTCATATCAAATGGTTTTCTAAATTGAAACATAATAAATGTGTTTATGAATATGAATTGATCTTTTGTAAGGAGTTGGTGAGTTAGAATGCCAAATGTTCTCCTCCTTTTTAAATTTTACATTGAAGGGTTCTTACAACATGTTTGCCCACCGGCAATTATAGTTGCTGCATATTCAAATATGATTTTCCTGAAAAAAATCAACAATCTGGAGAAAATAAATGCAAAATATGTTCATATAGGAAACTATTAAAAAGGCTACATACATGAAATCATTTTTTAAAAATTGGACACAAATGGGTTAAGGTTTATTGAACTAAAAAATAGCTGCAGCAATATTTTTATATAGTTGTTTTTTTCATTTTCACATCAGATAATGCTTGAATTTTTCATAATTTTTTTTATAGTTTTTTTTTTTATTCTAATAGTATCATAATCAATTAAATCATCCATTCATTAACCTTTAATTATAGTTTGAGGAAGAGCCAAAAGTCACTTAATTTATGCAATCAAATAAAAGAATCAAAATACAGTGTTAAACATAATTCCATGGCTTTTTAGACAGTTTCATAACGCAGAATTAGATTATTTATTAATGATTAAAAGATAAAGATATTATTATTTTTATATAATTTATACAATGATGACAATGTTATTTTATGTTTGATTGTTCAATTTCTGTACCTGAATACAGTTAACCTCTACAAAAAAAACATAAAGCATTGTTTATTTTACTTTTATTTTTGCTCTGTTGTATTTATGCTTGTAATTTATTATGGTTTATGCAAACGCAGCACATAGAAAAAGACTTGATTATCCCAATCGGTTTAAATGAAGGTAATGTTTCCAAGTAGGGCTTTTCAATTCATCAAGGTGAAATATATGAGCAATATCACGTGAGTTGCAGTGCGATGTGGCTGTATATCGGTATATATACAGCCACATCGCACTGCTACGAGTGTGATATTGCATTTATACAACAGTTTGAGGGCATAAACGTGTATAAATAAGAAAATCAAACACAGAGAGTCTCAAAACCCTTTTGTAAGAGAAACTACTTTCTTCTGCCACTTATACACATCTGCAGCTGACGTCAGAACAGCAGAAACCGTTGCTCGTTCACACACGTCACTTTAGAGCTAGTGTTTGAATGATTCTCTAGCGTAATGTCTAAAGTGATGACAAAACAGGTGATTTTGCTCACAATTTAAGATTATAAGGCTGACCAGCATGAAAAGCCATCTCAGTCTAGAGATTTCCCAGTATTTTTCTGTTGCAATCTGGAGATCACAATAGTATAAAGACAGCACTACAACATACAAAAGAGAGAGATCGACTTAGAAAGTCATTGACCTGTTAAATACTGATTTGATCAGCTGTAGTTTAAAATTCTGCAGTTTTTCTCCTAGGGCTTATTTTACGGTGTCTGTTGCCACCTTGTGAATAGACATCGTCAACCGTTTTTGCTTAAAGACAGGCTAAGGGGCCGATCACACCAAACGCACGTTTAGGTTCCAAACACGAGGTGCACCACACTGCTATTTTTGTTGACAAGAAAGAAAGAATCGATTTTTTATGTTGCTACGCAACGACTGGATCAGCTGGGTATTGTGTGAGAATGTTGCTGTTTATAGTAATATAATAGTAATATAATTTTAATAATTAATAATATTGTGATATTCAAGATTTGTGATTCATACAACACCGGATAACTGAAAACAGCAGCCACAAGTCTCTCCTCTATCTTCAAAAGTCTCAGTTGTTGTCTTGATAACACAAACACTGCAAAAACCTTAATGGAAACACCGCCTCTGTTTTCCTTTGATTGGAGAATGAAACAGACTTGAGTGATGTAACGTGCTTTTTCCGCTATGAGTTGAACTTTTCAAATGCGAGCGCACAGCACTCAAGGGATAAAACGTAAGGCGCAGCCGACAGTTTAAACACGAGGCACACAGGGCGCAAAAGCAGCATGCAAAAACGCTTGCGGCTGTTAGTAAACCATTCAAAAAATTTTGCCTCCCAATGCAAAAAACATGATCTGTGTGATCGGCCCCTAATGGCCACCGGTGCACTGTCTCTCAGAAATTACAAATATTTGAATAAAACAGGCACTATCCTTATAAAAAAAAAACTAAACGGTTGCAATCTAAAGCCTCAAAAGTACATTATGATGTCAAACAGCAGCAATATTTGTCAAAATGTAGAGTGTCCTCTGCTTGTTGCTGTATGTGGGCAGAGTAATTCACAAGGGTGAAAGGTTAAGAGGCTGGACGAGTGCTGTTACTGGCAGAATATTGCACGGCTATCAGCCAATCAAATTCAAGAACCAAACAGAACTGTTGTATAAATATACATATATCGCAATATGAAGAGTAGAAAAACAAAATATCACAATGTCAGATTTTTCCAATATCATACAGTCCTACTTTGTATCCAATCTACTTGCACAAATACTTGAATTTACACTTGGTGTAAACCCAGCATTACAGTTTACTGTACTCATTAAAGAAACACTCTTTTTTCTTGGAAATGGGCTATATTTACAAGTGCCCAAGAGTTAAACAGTTGGGTTTTATGTTTTTTTAAATCCATTCAGCAGACCTCCAGATCTGGCGGGAGCACTTTTAGCTTAGCTTAGCATAAATCATTAAATTAGATTAGACCATTAGCATCTCACTCAGTCTTAAAATAGAAAAACAATCAAAACACTTTTAAAAAACAAATTTTTAAGCCAGATGCTAATGGTCTAATGCAGGGGTGTCAAACTCAATTCCTGGAGGGCCGAAGCCCTGCACAGTTTAGTTCCAACCCTGCTCCAACACACTTACCTGTAGGTTTCAAACAAGCCTGAAGGACTCTATTAGTTTGATCAGGTGTGTTTAATTAGGGTTGGAACTAAACTGTGCAGAGCTGCGGCCCCTTTGGAACTGAGTTTGACACCTGTGATCTAATGTGATGCAATGACTAAAAGTGCTCCTGCCAGAACCAGAGATCGGCTGAACATATAAATAAATGGCAAAACCTATTTAACTCCATGGGACTCATTTTTTAATATTGACAAGATATAAGTTCGGTAGTAGCAAGACATTTTACAGATTTTGGACAGGACAAAAAACAACTAAAATGTATAGGAATCGAAGAAGTATTTAAGTCACATAGAGGAGGTCATCAGAATCAAAGATTATGACAAAGAGAAGCGTTCTGGATTCATAAATTAAAATCACCTACACCAAGAGGACTGGGGAAAAAATGGGGACATTTCTGTGTTTAGCTATAATATTGTGAATCATGGATTTTGAGTATGTTATGATACAAATAATGAGATGAAAATGTATTTTTAATGTTTTGGACTGTCGGAAATTCATTGCATTGATGTAGACATGGATAAGTGAATGATGATAATTGATGTTATTTTCCTGTGCAGTGGAAAAAATGTTTTTTAAAGGTGAAGGTAAATATTTCTTGTGTGGTTAATTACAGCATTTTGAAATAAAAATGAGATTGTTTTCAATTATTAAGTGGCCATCTTACTAATGACGTAATGTGATTGACTGTGGGATAAAAGGGTGGAATGAGAGGATTGCGTCACACACTGAGAAAGGCATTGTGTTGAAATGTTTGTCTTTTGTATCACCTAAGAATGTAAAATAAAAGCTATACAAAGTAATTATTTAATGAGTGTGAATCATGACCTTCTTAAGAATTCTTTTATATATATAAAATGGACACGCGACAGCTTTTAAATGTTGCAATGTTTTGTTTTTTCTTACAACACAGGATTATGCAGACTGACCTTCATCATAGCGCTACGGGCAACAGCAGCAGAGCCCGGCCTTTCTGACCCACCACACAGCTGAGCCGGGTCATCCATCACCGCGTTCCTCTTGAACAGGATAGAGGGAGCCATGAAGGAATAGCCCTGCAGACACAAACATCTATAAACACACTGGCAAACAGAAAAAGGAACTAATGCGGATGAAGTTTCAGGGTCACCGATGGAACTCAAACAGCGTAACCTTTCGCATTTCTGCGAATCCTTCATGTTAAGGGACTCCAGTCACATTGTTTGCATGCGACTGCATCATCTAAATAAAGCCCATGTCCCACTTACGCGGCCAGACTGCAGCTGTGTGGTACATGGGTGGAGGAGTGGCTGGCGGGATGAGAGGATTGCTGGACGGAAGGATGAGGAGATGAATGGTTGAAATGCTTTTAATTGATAAGCCAAGGTATTTGATTGCCCTGCTTTTCAAATTATCACAGTCCTCTAATGCAGCTTAATTTCAGTTTGTGAGGAGTTTGTGAGGGGGTGGCTGGGTTTATATGCGGCTATGCATGTGTGTGTGTGTGTGTGCTGGAGCGCTTCGCAAAGTTATCATTGCAGACGTCGCTGCAATTGTACCGCCCGAGAATTACGAAGGATCAAAATTCCAGCGCACATGAAAGGCGAACGCTCAGAAAAGCCAAGATGAAGTTGGTAATCAAAGGTTGAAGGAGTAATTGAGCCAGACATGGTTGTTCTTGCAGACGCCGACCTTTTATTCCATGACAGAGCCGTTTAATGGCGGCATTGATCCGCCAGACTGAAGGATTCAGAAGGCAATCATAGACACCATCTCTTTCGCAGCCTCCCATTTCAGCTGGCATCATGCTATAGGCAACGTTATGGATCAAGCCGCATCAAAAATAGTCATTCACATCTGATGCTTGAATCCATCTCCATATCACCATAATTACATCTCCAAACAGCTCTCTAATTCCTCTGAATACCAACATAGACAGCCGGGCGCACGTTGCGTAAGTGATCATTATAAAGGCTGACTTGCCCATATCCACTTCAGTACTTCCTGCGTACTAATAACCGAGGGTTAACTGAACATTTACATCAAAATTAAAAATTAAATGTCCACTCACTTGCAGAAATGATTTTTCAGTCTTATAAATGAAGCACAGTAAGAATCAACATTACAACATGCTTTTCTATATTGTGCTTGGACAGTTTGAGCTGATTTTGCAACAAAAGCTGAAAATAGTGAAGTGAGTGAATTTTGAAATCTGCATACATTTCAAAATCCTGTCACAAGATTTTACTTTTCTTGTCTGGAAATAAATAGTTTTATTAAGCATAAATGCATTAAATTGATCAAAATGAAAGTAAATATTGACATTTTTAATTGAATAAGTTATTTTTAAATGCAATAATATCTCTGAATATCTAATAACAGTAGTTTAATAAACTGATATTATTCACTGGATTTATAAATACAACACATAAATTACGTCGTCCGGAAACCTAGGTTTCTTGAAATTTTACTTTCTTTGTAAAATGCAACAAAAATTAAATGAACTCAAAAATTAAATTAAATTAAATTAAATTAAATTAAATTAAATTAAATTAAATTAAATTAAAACATCTTAACTCAAAATTAAATCAAAATCCAAATATAATAAAATTTAATTAAATAAAAAAAGTAAAATTTAAATCAAATTAAATTAATTTAAATTAAATTTCAATAATATTAAATTAAACTAGTAAAGGCTTTGCAAAAAATATTAAACAGGAGTAAAAAGAAACACAATTATTGTAATAGTTATTATCTTATCTATTAATAGTAATACTAAAATATAAAAAAATATTTAAATATATTTGAATTCAATTCAGTCCACTGTTCATTCACACTTTTGTTTTTCTGGAATGCAGCCAACATCAAAACTAACATGGATTATGGCTATTACTGCAGCTAAATATTGGAATATTGCACAATATTAAAACATTTCAGGAAGTTATAACCTGCAGTGACCAAACATGTCTTCCATTACACAACTCATATTACACAATAATATTATCCATTAATTGCACTACCTGGAAGATGCGGTCACAGTTGTTTGGAAGTGCTGCTGGCGAGTATGTCGGGTCCATCTCAGTAAACTCCTCCGCAAAGTTGCTCACATCCAGCTCATCCCGAATCACAGGCTTAAACGGAGCCCGAACTTTCTTAGCAGCCAAATCCTCCCAGTTTAATTTCTGAAACAACAAGAGTCAAACATTTTTGTTGCTGATCCCTCAAATACTGAATGAATCTGACTTATCTATAACAGACAAACAAAATTACAGGAGAATTCATTTTAAGAGGGAATTAGTTTGTTTTTTATATTGTCTTACCTGATAGAATGGATGTTTTTTTACATTCTGGGCTCCTGAAGGGCCAGAGCCCAGTCTCTTCTTTGGGTCTTTAATAAGCAGTCGCTGGATGATGTCTTTGGCCAGAGGCCCCATGTCTTTGGGGAATGGAGGATCTTTTTTCATAATTCTCCTATTAGGAAAAGAGAGAGATAAAGATTAATAAAAATATGATCCTTGCTTCCCATTTGACTTAAAAATAAATAAATAAATAAACAAACAAACAAACAAACAAACAAACAAACAAACAAACAAACAAACAGACAAACAAACAAACAAACAAACAAACAAACAAATAAATAAATAAATAAATAAATAAATAAATAAATAAATAAATAAATAGTGCAGTTTTAAGCAGTAGTTTTAAAGGGCCATTTAATTCTAGAAAACATTCCATTCTGCAAACAAAGTTTCAGTTTTACTTTAAATAAACTGTTTAGGCTGGGCATTTATCATAAAATCTCAAAAGAAACTCTCAATATCATTGATATTATCTCGTCGCGGGACTCCACACTTGTAAACAATTGCTCCATTGGGCTCGCGTGGCTCTCAGTCCCACCCAGACTCATCAGCGCTACCAAGCCGACCAATCACAAGGCTTGCGCTACGCATTATAGCCACGTGTAGTTACATTTTTTGAGAGGTGCACGTCAGCGACGCCGACGGCCACGACGTAGGGCTATGCGTCAGTGCCGTAGCATGCGCGTGCGCTTGACGCAGAAGTATAAATCAGCCTTTAGTCTGAGCACTTTCTGTGAAACCAGGCCATAATGTTTCTAAAAAAATATTTTGAACTATTGGTAGCATATTTTACATTTTTGCGACATTAAATGACAGAATAAAGTACAAATGTTTACTTAAACACCAGCGCAGTACAGTTGTGTTTTTCTTCTCTCCACAATTCTACTTTGACCCATTGCAGCATAGTTAGATGTGACTTAATTTCATGGAAATTTGGTACTTTTATTAGTCGTCAAAATGTCATGGCTAAATCAGAATTAACACAAACAAAAAATAAAAAATAAAAGACAGAAAGAAAATAACAAACAAATAAAAAACAGCTGATCTTGTGGTGTAACCTTTTGATTAAGACAAATAGATTTGAGATTGCATTTTATTAACAAATTAAATAAGTGTATTATTACTTAATTAAGTAAGTATATTTGGCTTTATTCAAGTATATTTCATTTTGTTTAATAAACAACTTCAATAAGGAATCATTAATGAAACCAGAGTTTCTAGAAGAACCAAAATCAAAACCAGGACTGTAAATTTCCTCATTATTCCCATCTGTATAAAGTGCACAGCTTTAAGTATGTCTGTCTACAGTATGTGTGTGTGTGTGTGTGTGTGTGTGTGTGTGTGTGTGTGTGTGTGTGTGTGTGTGTGTGTGTATGTGTGTATGTGTGTGTGTGTGTGTGTGTGTGTGTGTGTGTGTTTGTACTAATTTTGATGGCTTATAGAGGACACAAATTTTTCATAAGGTTCCTTTTCCAGCATCAATGCTGTATTGTAATTAAAATGAAATCAGCTAGCAATAATTTAGTTCTTCAAGCTTTAAATGAGATGAAAGAACTTAAACACATACACTACATGACAAAAGCCTTGTCACCTATCCAAGTTTTAGGAAAAACAAATAATAACTTGACTTCTAGTTGATTGTGTGGTGGTGTCAGAAGTGGCTTATTTGAAAGGCAAAGGCCTCTAGATTACGCTTATTTTACCACAATAAAATATGATCATGCCTTGATTTTTAATTATTTAATTAGGACAGTAAGGTCTGACTTCGCTAAGACAAAAGTCTAGTCACTTAACAGAAATAATGTACAGTATAGAATATAATCATATATAGTCATGGTGCAGTGGAAAAAGAATTAATTGTGTATAACTCCCGTGAGCTTGAAGGACTGCATACATACTGTACATTTCTGCAATGACTCAAAAAAATAATAATAAAGTCATCTAGAATGACAAAGAAAGCTTTCTTACAGGACTCCCAGAGTTCATCAAGATTCTTTATCTAGCCTCCTTTATCTTACCCCAGACATGCTCAATAATGTTCATGTCTGGTGACTGGGCTGGCCAATCCTGGAGCATCTTGACTTTCTTTGCTTTCAGGAACTTTGATTTGCCCTCTCCTGTGGTTTGTAATGTGATGGGTAGCACAAATGTCTTAATATCTCTGGCTGTTGATGTTGCCATCCACTCTGCAGATCTCTTGCATGCCCCCATACTTTATTTAACCCCAAACCATGCTTTTTCCTTCACCAAACTTGACTGATTTCTGTTAGAATCTTGGGTTCATGCGGGTTCCAGTACGTCTTCTGCAGTATTTTTGATGATTAGGATGCAGCTCAACAAATGATTTATCAGAAAAAATCTACCTTTTGCCACTTTTCCAAATTATCAACTTGAAGTCAAGTTTTTATTTGTTGCTCTTACAACTGTGATGGACGACAAGATTTTTGTCATATACTCCATTAAAAACGCTTAAAAATATACTGAACAGCATCGTTTTACATTCAAAATTTGCCACAGGTTTTCTGTGAGGGTTGGGTCACATAATAAGCATTTATTTACAGTATAAAATACATTACGGCAATTGAGATTCCTCATAAACCAGAAAAGCCATCATTTGTGTGTTTTTTCTTACTCTGCAATATCAGAATGTGAGTTCTCATCGCCATCAACAGTGAATGGAGAGCCTCCGGTCAGCAGCTCATACATCAGAACTCCCATGCTCCACCAGTCCACCGCCTGCAGAAGCACAACACCACACCACCTCATTTACTGTACATATATATATAACATCTCGTTCATTCCTGTCACACCAAAGCTGAATTTTCAACATCATTCCTCCACTCTTCAGTGTCACACGATCCTTCAGAAACCTTTTAATTGACACTCATCATTTGTAATATATAAACGTTTGACTGATTAACCTAAGAAAATAACATATGTAATTAAGTAACCCTTGAGTGTGGTGAATGAATGGCTGAGTGGTTCACTTTACCTTGTCATGTCCTCCTTCTCCTCCTGCTACGATCTCAGGGGCCATGTACTCAATAGTGCCGCAGATGGAATAAGCCCTCTCTACCTTTAAGACCAAAAGTACTTATTTTACTGGGTGTTAAAAAATAATGTTAAAAAAAATCAAACATGCATCATCATTTTCTGAAGTTTCTTCTACAGTTCGTTCATTTATTCATTTTCCTCGGTTTAGTCCCTTTTTTTATCAGGAGTCACCACAGCGGAATGAACCGCCAACTATTCTGGCACATGTTTTATGCAGCAGATGCCCTTCAAGGAGCAATCCAGTACTGGGAAATACCCAACAATCTCACATTCTCACACACTCAAACACTATGGCCAATTCAGTTCATCTAATTCACCTGTACCGCATGGTTTTGGACTGTGGGTGAAACTGGAGCACCCAGAGGAAACCCAAGCAAACACGGGGAGGACATGCAAACTTCACACAGAAATGCCAACTAGCCCAGCTGAAACTCGAACCAGCAACCTTCTTGCTATGAGGCGACAGTGCTAACTACTGAGCCACCGTGCCGCCATTCTTTTAAAAGCACACACAGCCATTTAAAAAAATGTCCGCTTGGAAAATTGCAGCTCCTCTGGCTTTAGTAGATTTATTATGGATGGGTTTGAGTAAATGTTAATATTTGCTTTTTATTATGAAGGTTTTTAATAATACTTTGTCTAAATTACAAAGTTAAAAATGGTCAGAATATATAGTTATTCCACCATACATTGATTTCTTAACTCTTTTGAAGTTAAAACCATGTGACTTTGTGTGGTCTACAAATGAATATAAAGTATATAGTCCCAGTTCTTGATTTTGATTGGTTGAGCCATGTTCAAAGCTGTTGTAAAATACTTAACAAACATACCCCTGTGACTGTTGTTTGGCCACCTTTCCATGTGTACTGAGCCAAAAGCCCTGTTTAATTCAATTTTAGTTCAACTTTTATACTAAGGCTAACCATTGCAAAAATTACTCTTGGGCAGCACGGTGGCTTAGTGGTTAGCACTGTTGCCTCACAGCAAGAAGGTCGCTGGGTCAAGTCCCGGCTGTGTCAGTTGGCATTTCTGTGTGGAGTTTGCATGTTCTCCCTGTGATGCCGTAGGTTTCCTCCGGGTGCTCCGGTTTCCCCCACAGCTCAAAGACATGCGTTATAGGAGAATTGAATAAGCTAAATTGTCTGTAGTGTATGAGTATGTGTAAATGAGTGTGTATGGGTGTTTCCCAGTACTGGGTTGCAGCTGGAAGGGCATCAGTTGCATAAAACATATGCTGGAATAGATGGTGGTTTATTCCACTGTGGCGACCTCTAAAATTGAGACTAAGCCGAGGGAAAATGAATGAATGAAAAAATACTTTCCACTATGAGTACTGCGAAAAAAACATTTAGTTCAACTATACTTTTAAACTAAATTGAAAACTAAACTCTCTACTATATTCCGCTTTGACAATTTGGTCAAAAGCCATGTTTGGTAAAACTTTTAAACTAAAGGCAGTTTTTAGCGTCAATCAATCTTTGAAATCATTCTGAAATGTTTATTTAGTGTCCAGCAGCATATCTTATATTTTTGTGGAAGCCAGATTCTTCAAAAAGCTCACAGAAGAGCTATTATCTGAAACTGAAGTGTTTATCTTAACTTGTTGCTTTTAGGACAATTGGCTTTCTCGCTTTAACTAATCACTTTTTACAGTGCAGTCTCTGCACTTGCTGTATCACAAACACCAATAATCTAACAATTTATGCAAAATTAATCAGTTTCTGGCCATCGGATATTAGGTATGAATATATGCAATTACAAAATATTTTTTGTGCTCAATCAAACTACTTATTTAAAATAAGCTAAAACAACACAATTCCTAAGATTTCCTTGGGACAACCGTATTTTTTTATGTTAAATTAACTGAATTTGTTTTTGGGACGACATGAATGAATTGTGTGGAACCCTGTATTTTTTACAGTGTGTATGTATATATATATATTGGATCAGGATTTTTGAAAGCATTACATTGCTTTGTAAACATTTATTATTACCATTTGATGAGTCTCCCGATACAGTTTGATAGAGTCACACTTAACCAGCAGATGTTATAAATCTCTTTACATTCAGTGGTTAAACACTGTTTACTTTTTATTACACTTCAATTGCAACATATGATTCATCCAAAAATACCACACGTCCTTAGTAAACACAGTAATAGGAAAAAAAAAAACAACATGTCTAAATTCAAAAAGCAGGTAAAAACACTAGAGCAGAGATGCCCAAATTAGGGTCCACGGGCCAAGGTTTGTCTTTGGACGCAATTGTCGTATGCTAGTTTCAGCTTGGCACAAGAGTCGTTATGACGTTTTGCGCCACGCTGTTTAAATAGCAAATGCATATGTGTGCCCGTAGGCATACTGATCTAACAAAGGAGGCGTGTTGAGGCGCATTGCTGGGGCGTTGCTATTTTGAGGAACTTTAATAAACTGTTCTATAGACCAGAACAAAGCAGATCTAAAGTCCAGCGCAGAGCGCGTTAGTTTTGCGCCTCGCCTAAACTTTGTTTAATACAGACAGGATGTACAACAATACGCTAATATCTTTACATTTAAAAAAAGAATTAAAATATTAAGCATATATATAGGATATAATAAGGATATATATAGAATATAAATATAAAGGATTAAAATATTACAAAACATATTCTTCATCTCGGGAGGCTTTTTCAGTTTATTCATAACAATTTGCTTTTGTATAATGTTATTATTATTAGCAGTATTATTTATTATATGTCAATTTATATTTGTTTTATTAAAAACAAGCTTACGTTTGTCCACCTGTCAGGTTTTAGACCATATGGGGCAAAGCATGTGTATTAGGATATGACTCCACACTTCGTTATCATTGTTCATTTATTCGTTTGCTGGAAATTAGAACTGAATTTCGAAATAGTTTTGAAACAAATCTATGTGCTTAATAAAGGAAATTAATTATTTATAGGCTAATTGATGTATGTGCGTACAAGAAGTTTCCCTATCCACCAGAGTAAAAGCGAAAGTAAACAATGAGTAGGCTCATCTCTCATTCTCGTGCTGCAGATGCTCTGTTTAACTGTTTTCTTGCTAGTGAAACACTCATTTTTTTCACTAACAAAGTTCGTCATGTAAATAGAAAATGCAATATGGCGCGACGCAACTGACTCTTAAAGGGAATGGGAGATGAGACTCTGGTTTATTCTCAAAACACACCTATAACTCATTAAGAAAATAAGATGAACCCTTTTAGAACATTTTAGAAAGCAAATTTTTCCATCCTTATATTAGCAAAAGTGGATTCTGACACGCCCTGCACTTTGCGCATGGATCATCAAAATAGAGCCCTAAATGTTTCAATTTAAATGCTGTATTATAGTACATACTGTCACTTAACGGATTGAGGACAATGCAGAGCTAATCAAGCCAAAGGCAGATTCTGCTTGACTAGTGTATTCATCATTGCGTTATGCGCTTTTGTTAGTCTGTTTTTATTATTTCCATACTACTGAGCCAGGCCCTATCCTGAGCAGCTGCTGTGGTGGTCATGGAGGAGTGGAGAGCATGAGACTGATTCCTGTAAGACCCCAGTGAGCGGCGAGTCTTCGAATTGATCCTCGCCGCTGTCGCCACTAGCTTGCATGGTTTGGGAATTGTGGAGCTGCAAATCGATGGATTTGTGTTTGGACTTCCATCAGTGAAAATTAAACCACACTAATCTGAAATAAACTGAACTTCAACTCTGAAAACTGGACTGACGCAGTTTCAATTAACTAAGACTTCTATGTGAAGCTGCTTTGACGCAATCTACATTGTAAAAGCGCTGTAGAAATAAAGATGAACTGAATTGAACGTCTCTGTCTTATATATGTTTATATTTTTATTGCAGTAAGTTATCATTTAAAATGTTATACTGCTTTAGTTAATACGATTTAAAGTAAAGTTTCCTATTTATTTTTAAATATTTTGAACTAGATTACCCATAGCAACTGTGGAAATATAAATGTATATAATCTAATTTCAAACGAACAATATTCTACATATTACTGAAAAGTTCATTTCTTAGGTTTTTAATTATATAATTTTATGAATAACCTAGCTTGGGGGAATATTTACCCTTTTGTCTTTCTGACTACTCAAAGGGATGCAAATGCTATGGGCAGGTTTTTCGGGTGTTGCTTTTATGCTACAGAAACCCTTGTGTTGATTAACTTGTGTGGTCAGTAGCTGGGCCTGTTTCTAACCCAATTTACCCTCCTGACTCCAAAACTGAATTTGCATGTTTTGTTTAGCTATCTCCCCTCCTCCTAAGAACACAATATAGACAGGACTAGGGACCTCTAGTAGGCTCTGCAGAGACATGGACATCATAAAGACGCTGTATGACTGCAGATTAACCAACACGTCTCAATAAAGGAATTCTGCTTGTTTCGAGTCTCCTGGACTGGGTTCTCTTCTTCTTTCATCATTTATTTTTACAGCACAACTTTAATGTAATATAGTTCGGTAGATTTACCTTTGGCCCACGACTCTCAATGATATTTGATTATTGCCCCTTCATAAGAAAAAGTTTGGTCACCTCTGCACTAGAGTGACTCCATGACAAATGTAGTACATCCAGATTACACTCAAGCCACACATGATTATACTACAGAGTGTACCGAAGTGGTAGGAAATAATTATTTTTAAATAAATACAGTCCAGTGTTTTAAAGAGTCTGCAGCTATGAATGCAGCAATTGTCTTTTCAAAGTAAAAAATAAACTAGAAGAAAATATAAATTATGGAAAGACAACTCTCCAGACTAGAATGATTAATTACTGCATAGATGCTGTTGTGGCGAAGGCTGAACGCACCATCTGTGCTTTCTAAATTGGGCAAAACTGCTTTCCGAATTATGCGGCTTATTTATAAAACGAAGTCCATGAAAACATCTGGAACAATCTCCTTTAATATCCTACAAGCGTTTAACGTTTCTGCCGCATGTTGGAACACTGACACAAGCACATGGCTTTTTTTATTTAAAGTTCCTGTACACATTTATTAATTGCTTTCATTTTTATGCATCTCATAATCAGCAGATTTCTGCCGGGTGAATTGACTTGTTTTATGTGCGCCGGTTTATATGTACGCTATAAAATCGTAATAGTCAGGCGTGTCTTTTTTAACCGCAATTGTAAACCCAGTTCTGGCTGAAAAGGGTTGTTAGCTAGTACAACAAAGGTCAAACTGAGAAAAACAGAACGTTAATATAATCTTGAAGAACAAAGAACGCGATCAACACATGCATGATAAGCGATTACAGCATTGAATAAACAGCTTTGTGCTGTAATTGCGTCCACGGGATGGAGAAAATGTTCACAGTGAACTACTGAAACATCAAACAGAATATCTCAGACATGCCAGGACCTGCATGTGCAGGATATTGGGTGGTCCGCAGGAATAAACAATCATTTGTTCGCTTAAAAAATGCACTTCTCATGGCCCAATGTCAAAACCCCAGACAACAGTGCAACAAGAGCTCTCTCTCTCTCTCTCAATACAGATCTTTCAACATTTGTTCATACACCCATAACACAAATTTAGAAAAGTGGAAGTCTAAAATGAAACACTTTTGATGTTTGAATGCTTTTCAAGCCTAAAGAAGCCATGCAAATGTGATCATATCAGTACAGAGATGATTTCAATTCCATGACAACAATGGCTGTGAAATATTAAACACTTGTTGGCCTGTTTAATTAAATAACTCATTTAAATGTTCCCAGTATTCCTCAAACTGGCATTTCATCCCAACACAATGTTCCCTTTAAATCTTTCTAACCCACTTTTATTGGTTAAACCAACCACTGGAGCAGAAACACCCCATTCAGCAGACCTGTGATATGTTTAATGAGCCATTCTTTACAAAGAACCTCTATGATACAATTTAAATAACTTGAATGTCATTTCTCACTATAGGCTTAATATATTTGTGGGGGACTTTTCCCCAATCTTTGCTTAAAAAAGATATATACTTATATTAAAATATTTCCAAGTGTTTGGGAGAGTGAGGATGTCACATTTACTTAGCAGCTGACAAGAAAGAAATATGTTCATTTAAATATGAATGTGGTTGGAGGGAATGAGCATGTTACATTTGTACTGTAGTAAAGCTACTTATTTAAATATTAGAAAATTATATTTGAATTGAATTACATATAGCCATATAGAAATGTTATTATGCAAGAATGCCTTACATTTATTAAAAAGACAAAAAAAAGACTATTTAACATCTTCAATGTTAAAGGTTTCAGAAATAAACTACTATTTTATTAAATAAACAAATGGTTAATTTGAGTGGTAATTGCCTTTCAATCTTCAAGAAATCATACAGTTCCCACACTCAAGCCTTGACTAAATTAAACATTAAATTTTATTTTTAAATACATTTTCATGAAATGATTAGGCAACTGTGTCAGGTGATATATTGCCTGTAAAATAGGGTATTTGCCGAAGCATGCTAATAGGACTTTTAATTTGCCAGTAACCTGGGTTAAATGCTTCCGGTGAACTATATGACAATGCAAAACCGGTGCGTTTCATGTCTGTCCTTAAAAATCAGCGATCTCCACTGGCTAAGTGATATCCGATATAAAGTGCATCTCAGATTGTACAAAAAGCACTGCATTAAATTACATTTCCCCCCGCCATGTATTTATAATATAAGCATTTATTTTACCCCAGTATATTCAATAGAGCTTCTGCGCTAGCCTGCTGATTCTGACAGGCGCGTGCGAGTAAGCGGCTTTTTGTCTCGTTTTACACTTGAGAAACTAAATTAAGCAACCCGGGCTCATTGTGGAAACGTAGTCTCGCGGACGTTTCTGGAGATCGCAGATTACATCCCGGCGGGTACGTACAGCTGCAGTTTTTGTTTTTGCGAATCTGCGAGAGGCCGCTGTTGTGCGCTTTTTCGCATCTCAGACGCCACTCGCAAGTCGGCAACAGGCCAGTCGGCTGACCTGCCCTCCTCCTTCCCTGAACGCAACTAATTTTACCAATCGACCCGCCCGCCCGCTCGCTTCCCTAAACCCGAGCAATAGTTTACAAAAAGCCGTCCAAAAAAAGAAAAGCCCTGTTTTTTGTTTTTTTCTACCGCTATTTCGGATTTCACCGCGTTCTTACCCTGTTACGAAACTCGTTCACTTAATTTTTGGGATTCTTTTTTTGTCTTACCTGATTGCTGAAACCACTCTTCCCCAGACTCGAAACCGATTGCCGTGGTCGACTCCTCTCTGTATCTCGAGCCTGCCGACGTACACGGTGAGCTGAGTGGACAAACGGGTTGCAGCGGGGAAGCCCTCCACAAGGAGATAATCGGTCGGCCGGCCGGCAAGCGCGATAGGGAACAGCGTCACACCGCCCCGCAGCGTTCGCTTGAAAAAAATAAACACGGCCGTATGTACCTGCCGGGACGTATTGCGCTGTTTCCAGAAACGTCCGCGGGACTACGTTTTCAGAATGAGCTTGGGTTGCAACTAATGCCAAAGTCTATTTAATTAAATGTATTTTACTGACATTACAACATCGATGCTTTAAAAGGAACCATATAAAAAGAAAAAAAAAATCACAATAACAGGTCACCGGAAGTTTATCAGTATGGGAAGAACACTTGTTCGGTATATACCCTATTAGAGGTAAATGCGTGCATGTCTGTTTTTTTGCACAAGAATGCATTCCCTGCCATACTCTTTTTAAATGCAGCATTTATGATGCAGAACGCTGGTTATTTTCTGTAAAGTGCTATAAAGCTTACTCAGCCTTTTATCCCTGGCTGGACAACAACTTATCTGATGGCTCCCACACATGTTTGTTTGCTCAGAGAGAGTGGTTTAGTGACATACATGCTACTGCAGTTACACAAGAGACTGTTTTTAGCATACTACATGACACTCTATCTCTAATGCTTTCCCTGAGCTTGCATTTTTACCAGAATTATAAACAGTTTGATCTAGAATTATGTGAAAAAGGATCCTTATGCAGCTGAATTACAATTAGAAGTTTCTCACAGTTTCACATCAATTAAAAGAGTGCATACAAACTACAGTTGAAACATTTAACTTTCCATTGTTAGCTGAAGTAATTGGCTGGTGGATGCTTGATTCTGATTGGTTGATTAACATTCTAAAGAGTACAGCTATTTTTAGGAGAGCACAGCTAAAGCAGATCTAATGAGGTCTTGACCGTATCTCAGTTTTATTTGACTTCCTCAAATGATTTTGGTTATTTTAAAGGTCATTGAATGCATACATACATACATACATACATACATACATACATACATACATACATACATACATACATTCATACACACATACACACATACATACTGTACATACATACATACATACATACATACATACATACATACATACATACATACATACATACATACATACATACATTCATACACACATACACACATACATACTGTACATACATACATACATACATACATACATACATACATACATACATACATACATACATACATACATGCTATACTATATACACTCACTGGCCACTTTGTTAGGTAAACTGCTCCTTAAAGCAAATTTCTAATTAGCCAATTATATGGCACTAGCTCAATGCTTTTAGGCATGTAGACATGGTCAAGATGATCTGTAGTTCAAACAGCATCAGAATGGGGAAGAAAGGTGATTTAAGTGGCTTTGAATGTGGCATAGTTGTTGGTGCCAGATGCTGTGCTCTGAGTATTTCACAACCATCTCTAGGGTTTACAGAGAATGGTCTGAAAAAGAGAAAATATCCAGTGGGCGGCAGTTCTGTGGTCACAAATGCTTTGTTGATGACAGAGGTCAGAGGAGAATGGCCAGACTGATTTGAGCAGATAGAAAGGCAACAGTATAAGCCAGGTATGCAGAAGACCATCTCTGAGTGCACAACACGTCGAACCTTGAGGTGGATGGGCTACAGCAGCAGAAGACCACACCGGGTCCTGTCAGCTAAAGCCTCATTGACAATACAAGCGACCCGCAGCGGCAAAGCGACAAGCAACTGTTCATTTCAACGAAGAGTAAGCGACTTCCGGCGACCTCCATCTATACAAGCGACAACGACCGTTGACGACCAGGTGAGCATGTCGAGCGACACGACAAAGTTGAGAATCCTTTAACTTTATGCAAATGAAGAACCACTTTCTTGAGCGACAGCCAACAGGAACACCAGTAGAGCTCATGTGATCCTCTGTCAGCTCACTCAGTGGCTGGTTGTATTCATGCTGTATATACCTACACAGACCTGCGTTTGAAACAGGTCGCCACCCAGATCGACAGGCAGCTACAAAGTCTCTGCTAGTCTGAATGAGGCATAAGAATGGGAGACTGAGGCTACAATTTACAGACTCAGCAACACTGGACAATAGAAAATTAGAAAAACGTTGCACGAATCATTTCAGTCTGGTTTCTTGAACATGACAATGAGTTCACCGTATTTAAATGCCCTCCACAATCACCAGATCTCAATTCAATGTAGCACCTATGGGATATGGTGGAATGGGAGATTCACATCATGGATGTGCAGCAGACAAATCTGCAGCAACTTCATGATGCTATCATGGCAATAAGGACCAAAATCTCTGAGGAATATTTCCATTACCTTGTTGAATCTATGCGAAGGATTAAGGCAGCTGTGAAGGCAATAGTGCATTCAACCCGATATTAGTAAAGTGTACCTAATAAAGTGGCCTCTGAGTGTGTTTAACTTTGGATTTTTTATGTGCCTTATTTAAACACTCTGGTTAAATTTACATTTCTAATTCGACTCTGAACTCTAATAAATCTTTTTCAGACTGATCCTAGGTTAGCTTAAATAAGGCCGATAACAGTGGCCTAAAATACTTCTCAGCTTATCAGTATAAGACAGGATTTTAACTAACTATGTGCTTTATATTTTAAGTTTTGAAACATGTATAAAGCTGTCAGTAACTAAAAATTGCAAAAGATTTCTGCAAGCAAACTTACCTCATGAAATTCCTTACTTAGACCAAAATCCGTCAACACAATGTGACCATTTGAATCAAGAAGTATATTCTCAAGTTTCAGATCTCTGTAGACGATTCCCAGCTGAAAAAAAAGGAATAAAAAAAAACAGAAATGAATAAGCTTTTATGTTTAGCCCAAATACTTCAAATGGTTCACCACATTCCTTTTCCTCTTTTGTCCTTGCCAAAAGCATTTACTCAACTCCCTGGTTTACAACCCTCCACTTTGTCTGAGATCATAAAATGCAGTCATTCACCTGGAAAATGTAGCACTACTTTAATAAATAATAAATTACAACATAATAGGCGATGACAAAAAGTGAGTCCGAACCAAAACAATGTTAATCTCACTGTCAAGGTCCCAAACACTGCGGTGCCCTCAGGCCAACTCTGAATAATGGCTGCAGCACACAGAACAAGCGTGCATTAAAAACACTTCTCTTCCTCTTTTTGTAAACACAGCCTTCGAGAAATTTGGAGCTCTGCAGATGCGTGTGGCCTGGCCGGTTTTTGAGGAGTGAGGAATGGATCTGAGATTGCAGGAGTAAAGAGAAGTAGCTCCCGAGCAAAGGAAGGAACTACTTTCGCTATTCTCTCCCAATGAGGTGCCATTCAGGCCAGGAATGAAGAGTGAAAATAAGGGTGTAATTTTTGCTGCAATTTTTACCTTATGCAAGTGCTCCAGCGCTAGTACAATCTCCCCGCTGTACAAGGTAACCTCTTGCTCTTTAAAGCGAACCCTTTGGACCAAGTGTGTGAAGAGCTCACCTCCGTTCACATAGTCTGCGATTTAAGGTGTAGAGAAGAAAAGTGCAACTGATGAAGTGATGTTATATATTTTAGACGCACATGGTATAGTGCAGATACTACCAAATCTTGTTTTCATGCTGACTCTGACACCATCGGCTCCAAGCGTTACCACAAAAACCAAGAGTTCCTGCAGTGGTGTACGTACTTCCGCATTTCATTATTAAAGCACATATGCTGCTGTGATACAAAGGCTCCCTATGCTTTATTCACTGCTCTTTCTTAACACACATGGGACAGATTGTTTAGAATTCCCCTGCAGAACATTTAGTTAAGGCCTGTTTATTTCAGGAATTGTAACTGTAACTTTAATGATAACCACAGTGGTGTGAAAAAGTCTTTGCCCACTTACTGATTTTATTTATTTGTTTGTTTTTCACATTTGTCACACTTTAACGTTTCAGATCATCAAACTAATCTAAATGTTAGTCAAAGACAACACATCATGCAGCTTTTAAATGAAGGTTTTGATTATAAAGGGCATCTATTTTACCCTTTTTACAAGATGTAAGATACACATTTGGTGTCTCCAGAATGTGTCTGGAAAGTTTCAGCTTAAAATACCCATAAGATTATTTATTAAAGCCTCCAGAATCTGCCTATTTTGCTGTGTGAGTAAAGGGTGGTTGTTTTTGTAGCCTGTGGCTTTAAATGCAAATGAGCTGCTTTTCCCTGCCCACCGTTCCCACGTGTCTGTCTGCTTGTCATGCGTTACGTCAGATATGCAGCAGTCAGTGATTGAAATAGACACGGATAAAGCTGCTGAAATACAGCTCATTAATCAAAAATATTGAGTAAGTTTATTTGATGTATTTGTGGTGGAATTTATTCAAGCCTTTCTGATATGTGAGTCACACACAAATGCCGTCTTCAGTACACACACACACTTACATATTAGCGTTTACTGACAGCATGCAGCCATGGTGATTATAGCAGATAAGTAGTAGATAACGATTTTACTCGATCGTCTTTATTACAAACATGCTGTTTTACAAATGTTTTAAACTTATAAAACTTAGAAAAATAACAGAGAGTTGGAACAAATATCTTAATCCCAGTTCCTTTGCAAAAAATGTTCTGTTGACATGTTTATAGATGGCATTGTAGAAATATGGTGCCTGTCAGTCAATTCAGTGGGCGGGAAAAAAACGCATTCCAACATCAGGTTGATGTGGGCCACAAAATCCCTGGGATTTGGGTCATTCTGTATTCAAATGTTAGGAAATTTTTAAAAAGAGACTTGTTGGGTTTATGACTGTGGACACACTATACCTACACTCTCAGAAATAATGGTACAGTGTTGTACCAAAGAGGGTACAAACCCTTGTCACTGAAGCAGTACCTTTTTATGGAACAGAATTTGTACCACTGCAGTTTGTACCTTTAAGGACATGATTTGTACCATGGGAAACCAAAATTTACCTTGGTTTACAAATGTGATCCATAAAGGTACCACTACAGTGACAAGACACTTATGGTCACGTTTCCACTTTGAGGTACCGTACAGTACGGTACCGTACGGGTTGGTACGGGTCATCATCAAGCTTGCGTTTCCACTGCCAAAAGGTTACCCTTTTGTTGGGCGTGGTGTACGACAGAAAGTTTCAGACAACATTTTTACTCGAGGAAATGTCACAATAAAGCCGTACAGGTCGTTCACATTTCATATGAGAAGCTCTTCTCACAAAACAGATGCTTAGTACACAAAAATACTTATGTATAAATGTTCGTCATTAACCTTTTTATGAACATGAGTTGATTATAACTGCAGATTAATGACATAGCGAAATAGCCTACTGTAATGTCTGCAATTATATAAAATAAATAAATAAATGCACATATATGAACACACAGACCCTTACAGTCTCCGATATGTTATTAATTACAGAAAACTGCACACAGCATACATTTAGTCCTTACTTGGGTTCAAAAACTAAACGAAATATAGCCCACAGTCAGTGCAAACGTCTCATCTCTATCTGTAATCTTCAGCAGCACATGTAACGTCTTGTTAGAAAGTAAATCCGCCATTCTGAGTTCATGATAGTCCAAAAGGCGATGATAATAGTTAAACATGGCAGTTTGTTCATGTTTTAAGTTGCAAAAACATCATTTACTGCTTTTTTCCAGTTTCTCTTGTTTTTTCGCGCTTCACTCTTGCGTTTGACTTGTTCTGACAGGATCGGATATCAGAGCGCTTCAATGATGTGCACGTTATTAATATGAGCTCAAAAAGTTTGTTATTTTAAATATACAGTAGGTGCACAGCGGAGAACGTGAAACCACTCACGCTTTAGACAGGCTCGTAAAACAAGAACAGGACACAGCAGATTTTGTTCTTCTTGGCTTTGTGGTTGTACATCAAGACGATAACAAGGTTTGTTTAAGGTCGGGTCGGCCATGGCTTGTTATCATACAGTATGTATATATTATTATGGTGTAATGTCTCGGCTCTGTTTTTAAAAATGGCGCTTCTTTGTTTGCATTCTCCTGCTTCTGCAAGTGGCGTATCTCTGTAAACCAATAGCATTTAGCTGCGCCTCTAGCTCCACCTTATCGTACCCTTTGGGCCTATTGGTACCCTTTGCAAAGGGTAACTAAAAAGTGGTACGGTACGGTTCACTTTTAGGTACCCTTTGTTACATTTCTGTAGCAAAAATTACAGAACAATACCTGAAAAAAAGTTTTCACACAATACCTTTGTAATCAATTGTAATCAAAAATTATTTTAATTGATTAAATTTTGAAATAGAAATATAATTATGCAAAAGTAATGTAATGAGATGTGCACAATGTTTGATTAGCTTTACTAAAATGTCTGCATGAACAGTTTGCATATGCAGGACTTTTGGCAGCTCACGCGCGTAATGGAAAGCAAACACCAAAAGGTGCAGATATCAATAATGAAACTGTATTTATGAGAAAATTCTTACCAACTGTTTATTAAAAATACCTTAAATGTTTCGTTTACAATACCTATAGTTTTGTTTTACCAGTTGTTTTGTATTATAGAACTTGTGATGATTCATGTTTTAATATGGAAATTTTTATTTCATATTTATTGTCATAGATATTGTAATATAGAAGAAGTTGTCCAACACTTATGTACTTTTTTATGAGACCAATTGTGTACCTTTACTTCAACTACTGTACTATAAAAGGCACAGAACAGTATTATAAGAGCCCACATAGCAAAATTTCTCTGGCCCCGCTCTGGCCCACACAATCAGGTGAATTACGGTACATGACTGGACCAAATTTGGCTTCCAGACAAGGGCCAAACACGGACCACATCTGGGCCAAGTCTCAGCCAAGTTAATAACTCATCACTGGGCCTGAACTGGGCCAGATAGGTTGGTGTGTCACAATTGCAATGAAATTGATAAACCCATGGAGTGATGCGCTTTAGGCACACTATGGGCACGCTTTTTCTCAAAGTGACCTGATTGGTAGAATTTTTTTTTTTACTCAAAAATGATTTTAGTGTATTTTAAATGTGGGTCAAGACTGGCCAAACTCACATGGCCCACTTATCAAATTTTAAATCTGGGCCAAATACTACGTTTTTCATCTGGCCCAAATCTTGTGTGCCGCCTTAAAGACCGTACCACCTCTGCCAAACCCGGGCCATGTTTGGCCCCCATGCTGTATGCCAGTGCTGAATGAATGCCTGCTGTGCCAGCTTTATGCCAAATCTGGGCCAGAATTCTTTGCTACTAGGGAGGTCTTTTCTGTGCCATAAAAAGGAGACACTGCTCGCTGCAGAGCCACTTGGGCTCCAAAGAGGAGGAGCTTGAGCTCCAACTCCTCCTCCTATAAGCTGTTTTAATGCATACACCTACCACACCCCTAACCCCAACCCCCAGTGACATCACTTGTAGAAGAAGTGCAAGCAAGGAGGAGCTGGAGCTCAAGCTCTCGGCTGCTGGAGCTCAGCTCTGCCCTGCCCAAGTGGCTCTGCAGTGAGCACCACTTGTATACTGTACAACTTTTACAAAGGTACAAAACTGTTTCTTAAGAAACATATTATTGGTATCACAGTGTACCTATTTTTATAAGAGTGTGTACACAGAGTTCTTTCCAAACAGCTTACAAATGCTGATTTTCATCATAGGCGCCCTTTAAAAAAAAACAAAATCCAAAACTACAAAGCCCTGTGTAAATAAAAGTGCACCCCTCCTCTGTTAAAATATAACTTAACTTTGGTTTATCATGTTTAAATAATAAATTATTAACTGTATTACGAAGCGCCCATGATATCAATATAGTGCATGTTCATTTTCACCATGTTTTTATTAAATACAATTACAATTATTGAATGTTGGCATATGTCTAAACAGTAGCGTAATACTATTTACATTTATTTTGAAAACATCAAATGTGAAACCCATAAATTTATTACAAAAGTGTCTTATGTCATGTTACAATTTATTCAATTTGGCTTATTAATGTTTATACCTTATTTCCTGTTACGTAACAAACAGGCATACCAATAATAATCCAACTCTAGTATTTACGTCTGGTGCGCTTTATACCCTTTTACTGCCCAGTAACCACTTCTGAGGTTAATTAAGCTGAATAAAAATGCCTGAGGTTTGGGCACAATGACGGATGGGTAAAAGACTCTGCCCTCTTCCTGTGAAGTGATACATCAGTGCACACTTGCTCTCTAAGCTATTTGCTGTGAGACTGATAAAAGATAAAGACCCACTTGATGGCCAAACACTCAATATAGTCCAGATTGCAGGATGATGAAGTACATGTAAAATCTGAATTTTTAGCCTCCCTGAATTATTAGCCCCCCTGTTTATTTTTTCCCCAATTTCTGTTTAATAGAGAGCAGATTTTTTCAACACATTTCTAAATATAATATTTTAATTATTATTATTTAAATTAACTAGGTTAATTAGGTTAACTAGGCAGGTTAGAGTAATTAGGCAAGTTATTGTATAATGGTAGTTTGTTCTGGAGACCATCGAAAAAATAATATAGCTTAAAGTGGCTAATATTTTGACCTTAAAATGGTTCTTAAAAAATTTAAAACTGCTTTTATTCTAGCCGAAATAAAACTAATAAGACTTTCTCCAAAGGAAAAAATATTATCAGACATACTGTGAAAATTTCCTTGTTCTGTTAAACATCATTTGGGAAATATTTAAAATATATGAAAAAAATTCAAAGGGGGGTTAATCATTCTGACTTTAACTATATATCTTAAAGCAGAAGATCTGTCTGCTCAGCTTCCACTCTTCTCGATGCACAAGTAAAATCAATGTAAAAACCAACATACCTAGAATGAGATGCAGTTTGGTGTCTGTCTGGAAGGCATAATGGAGTGTGACCAGAAAAGGAGACTGTCTGATATGCTCGAGGACCTGTCTCTCTGTGCGTGTGTGTTCTGCCGTCTTGGCCTTCTGCACAATAGTTGCCTTTTTCAGCACCTTCATGGCATAGAGTTTGCCCGAATCGTGGCCGCTCACTTTGCGAACCAAGAACACCTTGCCGTAGGCTGCCCAGAGGAGAAGAACGATGTGTTAGTGAAGAGGGAACAATGATTGGAAGAGAACACAGGGTTCGCATACTTGAACTATCACTGACCTCCTGTTCCCAGCACTTTCAGCAGCTCAAAGTTCTCGATGCCCACACGCTCCACATGACCCGTTAGATTGGCTGCGGAAAGATTTAAACACATCCATCTGGTTACAGAGCCAAGAAATAGCATATTTCACTTGGATATTACGCAACTAGAATTCAGTAAATCTTTGAATCTTCGGTTATTTGAACTCTTATTTGCCACTTTCTCACAACAGTGGAAAAAGAATATGTGTGCAAAATGGCGAGACCCTGGAGACGAGCCTGTAACTGTTTGTAAATACACTATGTGGTTTATAAACAGGTCCAGATGGAATCTGCAGACTCTGCACTTTAAAGAATTAAACATGGTACAAACTGAAGTGGCAGCTCAAACAATTATGAAATAGGAAATAATTATAATAACAACAATAACTCAGAACCGTTCAAATTTTTGGTGTCATTACGATTAAAAAAAAAAAAAGGTCTATTCATCAAACATTTATCAAGCCAATCAATAGTTACAGTTAAGAAAGATAATAAATTAACCGACATTCATCTTTTTTAAAAAAAAATTCTTTAAACAATCTTGAAAATGTAAACACCTTTTCCACTAGGGCTGGGCGATATTGAAAAAAAAATTATCATGTTATCATGTTTCATATCATTCGATATCGATAATTATTAAACACATTTTAATAAAACTATAGCGCTTCATATCAAAACTACATACCGAATGATATTAACAATGGTGTTTGGTCAATAAATAAATACCGATGTCAATTTTATTTTTAGCGCTATTTTCCACAAACATTTTTTTCAGCAGATCACTTGCAGATTGAAAATTCGCTATCATTTACTCTCTATCCACTTGTTTCAAAAGAGTTGAGTTTCTCTTATCCATTTAACACAGAACACTTTCAACAAATAGAGCTGTGCAATATAACGAGATACATATATATATATATATATATATATATATATATATATATATATATATATATATATATATATATATATATATAGTACTGACAAAATAAAAAGTCTATCATTTCATTTTATGCTCTATTATTAATTAAGTCGCACAAAATACAAAATGTTTGTTTGCAATAATATTGTCTTAAAAATCATTTGGATGAGTATTGGATGAGCAATATTGGACAATATTACATTAAATGCACAAATGCAAATAACAACGTTTCACGCTCGCATGTACAATGTTTACATTTTGCCTTCATCAAAAACTATTAATTAATTGAATATGATGATCATTGATCCTGGAAGTGAACTTCTCTTTTAACATCACACTAGCTGCATCCCAAATCGCATACTTATGTACTATTCTACGCCATTTGGTTGTATAAATAGTGTAAGTACTGCGTTTACACTGAAAACTAAAAATAATAAGTGCACTTTAATTACCCGGATGATGCACTCAACGACCACAGCTTTGTTCACGCAGTGGAAGGGGCAGAGCTTTCTGGCGCACATGTTGGATAACTTTATTTATTTTGGATGGTCAAAGCAGAATTTTCCTACGAGAGTGATTATATTGCCTCCCGATGGTGAATGCAGTTCTACCCATGGCAGGTATTATTTGCTAGTTTGGTCATTTATTTCACTGATTTTACAACCGTCAAACGTCATCAAGGAAACGGTTTGAATTTCCGGTTTTGCAAAAAAACATTAGGGCTCCATTTGTGACAACACTACATACATATACTATGCTGTTGAGTGTGTAAGTGCATAAGTACATATTAGTGTATGAGTGCATAGTGTATAGTGTGCCATTTGAGACGCAGCTCATGACCTTTTTTAAGAGTCCTTTTCCAACCTTTAGTGCGTGTTTCTCAACCACGTTCCTGGAGAACCACCAGCTCTGCACATTTACCATGTCTCCTTAACCAAACACACCTGATTCAGATAATCATCTCATTAGCAGAGACTGAAAGACCTGTAACGGGTGTGACAGAAAAAGGAGACATCCGAAACATGCAGTGCTGGTGCAGGAATGTGGTTGAGAAACACACAGAAATGTTAATATGAATGTCATTAGCACAATAGATTACCTATTAATACTTTTATTTATGTAAGATTTAAGTTATAACTACAAAAATCTGAACATTTGAATGGCTCTGTAATTAAAGGCTTTGAATTTGCAGAAATCTGAGTTCTGCAGGCACAAATTCTGTGTGGGCCAACTCATAAATAAGGAAGAGCCTGATGATTCAGGGAAAACAAAACAGCCTTCATGAATGAGACATGCAGGAGCGCAAGCATGTGCGTGGTGTATGTTTACACGCTAGCATGCAGGCTGAAGAGAGGTCACTTGTTTTATGCATTGAGAGCCCAGCAAAGTCAACATATTCCTGCTGCTACCCTCACAAACAGCAGCATAGCATCTCGCTCCGACTTCGACTCGTTCTCTGACAAATTATCTGATTTTTGAAGAGGAAAGAAGCATATTCTTTTACCACATCCTCTGACTGGATATCAAACAGCATGTTTGAAGTGTGTGTAAGCATGAAGGAAACAGATTTCAGTCCACTAGAGATGCCTGTGGGTCATTTTACATTCATTAATATGCTTTCACACACTGATTAATTCCTGTTTAGGATCCAAATGGCACAAACAGAAAGAGATTCTGTGTTTTCTCACATGCACCTTTTCAGGTGAACTCCATCTAGTCCTAATGTTACTTTGTTAATCATAACAAGCAAACAACAATTAAGTGTCTGTAACCATTAACCTGCACTGAATATCCAAAAGTAGTTCAATATCTGGATTTGGATTAGTCAAATACAATCGACATGGGTTTCTTCATTCATTAATTTTCCTTTTGGCTTAGTCCCTATTAATCTGGGGTCGCCACAGCGAAATGAACAGCCATTTTATCCAGCATTTGTTTTTTTATGCAGCAGATGTCCGTCCAGCTGCAACCAATGACTGGGAAACATCCATACACACTCATTCACACACACACTACGGCCAATTTCGCTTACCCTATCCACCTATAGCACATGTCTTTGGACTTGTGGGGGAAACCAGAGCACCCAGAGGAAACCCACGCAGGGAGAACATGCAAACTCCACACAAAAATGCCAACTGGTCCAGCCGAGGCTCGAACCAGCGACCTTCTTGCTGTGAGGTAATCGTGCTACCCACTGTGCCATCATGATGCCTAACATGGGTTTCTTAATGATTTAAACCAGTCGAGAACAGGGAAACCAATTGCAAAATAATATTTAGGATGTGTTCACACTTGTTCAGCCCATGAAAAAAGTGAGTCTACATTTTCTCCTGGCAATCAAACTGAACCAAGATGTAAAAACAACCAAAATAAATGAATACAATAACATAAACAGCTTTTATGACATCTATCTATTTTAGGACAAAACTGAATACCCAAACCAATGCTGTACGCTCAACTGAATGAGCTGAATGGTATTTTTATCAGCTGAGAATTCATGATGAGATTATAAAATGCGTAGAGTAAAAACTGAACCATAACACCCATCACATAAAAGAAAATGGAGCTCTGCTGCAAGAAAATGCATTTCTGAAGTGTATTATTATGTACACATCCCAGCAGGCACACAACATCATAAGACGTTAAAATTAAGTTACATTAAGATCATGACGTCAGGTGACCAAAATTCAATATCTAGCCAGCGTCTAAGGACAATGTTATTTTGACGTCAAATAATGATGTCAAATTAAGTTGATATTTGGTTGGTTTTAGATTGTGTTGGAAAGTGATCAAAATCCAACGTCTGATAGATGTCATGGTGGTAACGTCTACACAACATCAAGGTGTAACCTGGTTGATTTTAGGTTGATTTTAGGTTGGACATTAACATAGGTTCTGACGTCAACCCAATTTTCATTTCCAAACAAAATTTTACGTCCCCACGACGTTGGTGTACAACGTCAATATGAGGTCATGTTGACGTCCAGTGTCTCCAGGGATAACATTATGACTATAACAAACAAAAAACATCAAGTAATGTTATGTTTGAGCATTCTGTCCTGTTTCGACGCATCATTTGACGTCATGTCCTTTCATGATAAACGCATTATTTTAAAGACCGTGAGAACCAGCAGTTGCTCAGACTTTTATTTTAGTATCTTATTGTACTTCCAACTGAAACTGAATATTGAGTAGGGGTGGGGCTTCCTTTTAGCGCATCATTACTTTATAGAAATCTAAAGGTAAGAGGAGTATAATTAAGAATATATGTGGCAGAAGCTGTCAAACTGATGTCAACAGAGAAGAACTGACACTCCAAACGTAGAAGCAAATGGTCAGACTTTGATTAAAGATTATTTAAACACACATTCTTTTCATTGGACAGACTTGCATTGTTATTCACCTAAAGAATAACAATGTGTGCTGCTAGCAAAATGAAGATTGTAAATTTTTATTTCACACATTCTTTAATTTGAAGTGGACTGAGACCTGCTATTTCTGCTCTCTCTGTCCTCTTGTTTGGTGCACAAACTGCAGTGTGTTTGATCCTGCTGAGTGTGAACACATCCTTACTGAAGGCAAATTTGTGATTTCAGCACTTCTCTCTGAATATAAAGTGCTTAAGAACGCAAATGTCAACCTTGCCATAAAATTAAATAAGTTTTTGCCAAAACAGCGAAAACGTTTCTGCAATTTTTTGTGTAGGCTTGTATTTTACAGTACTTTAGAAATACTCAAAAATGTCTCTGTTAATGTTTTCAAACAATTATATTTGATTTACAAAAGTGACCCAAGTGGCAATGTCACATCCATAACAAAGCTTTTTCATTATAAATGCAAAAATGTAAAATAAATAAAACAACTTTTGTTCAATAGTGAACAACTCTTAACCTTTTCATTAGCATTGTTTCTTTTGGGTTGTGCAGTTTAATTCACAGAATTTCTACAAAGCATGTTGTATACTGTAAACTTGCATACTTTTTGGTCACATCTATAACGCATGCTTATTTTCCTTATTTAAGATATCAAAAATGTTTACAGGTTGATATTTTTCTGCTCCCATAACTCTGTTGTTTTGGAAAATTTAAATAGATGTTTTAATATAGTGTTAACATACACTTTCTGTGTGAATTTATTTTTTGAGATTTTACTGAAAATATCACATCTATAATGTTGGAATTGCTTGTTTTTTTCAAATGTCACCATTTTAAGGAATTTTTGGTGACAGTGCAGTAACATGACTGTACTGAATACGCAGAAGAGAAATAACGAAAATGTAATTAAAAAAATAAATGTAAAATAGTTTATATGCAATTAATGAATTCAGTACTAAAAACATTACTTTTAATTGTGAGATACAGTCTAAAAGTGGATTTAAAGAGGACATTATTTTGAAACAAGCCTCTAATGCTTATTTAATTTATATGTTGTGTCTTTTTTTAACAAACTGTTGTGTTATAGTTTCCTCTAAACAGTCAAGTCAAGAAATATCTGCACCACTTTGAAGGAATGTGCCTACTTGGCTTTTGTGCTAAGTTTACTAAGACAAGCAAGCGAGGACACACACAAGGTAACTTCATTTACTATACCAAGACATAATCAGGGCCCTAGAGATTAAATCAGCTTCAGTAATTGGGTTTCTTTAGACTCAAGGCCATGTCATGACTGAGCAACTAATGCAACCACTCACACATAATAATAATAACAACTACGGTTAATAATAAGTATACAACATTATTATTCAGTGTCAATCTGATTCCTTTCAAGTGTTTCTGAGTTCAAGCAAACGCAACTACCGTTATGAATGTGAAATATGAAACAGCACGTGCAGAACATCCTCCAACCTCAAAGTACCCCATCATGACGCGTCATTTGTGATACATAAATGTCACATATCAACATACGGTAATATCAGCACTTACTCGTGCTTTTACAGTAGCCGACCAGCTAACATTAAAGCTGTCACTTCCATCACATAACGAAAACACTATTAGTCAAAGACACAAAGAAGCGTTGCTTCGTAAATAAAACCGCAGGAGCAGCTGTCCGGTGTTCATTTACCGTTTCTGAGCTCGTGTTTGACGGTAAACAGGTCACCTTCCCCCGATGAGCCCTCCATCGTAGACGGCATTACTCGCGTGAACGGAGCGCGCACTCTTTCCTCCGCGCGGGCACGACACTAACGCAAAGCACCCCAACAGATCGCACCAGGATTACAGTATCGGAGCTGTTGCTATAAAGCAACCTTTGGGAGACAATGTAAATGACAATAACTGCATTCTCGTAGGAAGGGCAGTGGGCTGTAAATACTACAGCTGCACTAACAGAGATACACACACACGCCGAGCCCTGTATGACACGCCCACTTGAGCTGCTGGGAAAAATACTTCTGCTCTATTGGATCGTCCGACTGTCAATCACCGCCCATCAACCAAAGACTGTTCTACCTTAACTGTTTACTGCAACAATGTGGCAGATCATTATAATATAATATAATATAATATAATATAATATAATATAATATAATATAATATAATATAATATAATATAATATAATATAATATAATATAATATAATATAATATAATATAATATAATATAATATAATATAATAGTTACATTATAATTACTTTATACTATTAAATAAAAAAAATATAAAAGGTCTCTTCTACAATTTATTAATGTAAATTACTGTTGCCAGTTGTTGGGCTTCTATAAGGAATTGCTGGCCTTTTTGAAAGGTTGCTTATAGATTTTCTTCCAAAGGATTTAATAAAAGTGAGATTTGAGAATTAATATTCAGGTGTGATTATTAAAAATATAAGTTGCTTATTTTTATCAAGATGTTAATAAGAGATCAAAGACACCCTAAAGTTATTGTATATACAGTTGAAGTCAGAATTATTGGCCCTCCTGAATTATTAGCCCCCCTGTTTATTTTTTCCCCAATTTCTGTTTAACAGAGAGAAGATTTTTTGTCAAATGCAAATCAATTATAAAGTATATATACACACATAAAAGTGTCTACTTTAAGTTTTAATTACTGTAAAAATGTTAAAATATTAAATAATGTCCCATTGTCATTCAGGATAAATAAAAATATATTAATAAAACTTTAACCATGTGAAGTTATCATAGGTATATATATTATTTTAAATTTTTTAATTTAAATATGAATTAATAATTTATTTATTAAAAATTTATAAAAAAAATGATATTATTAAATATTATTATTATTAACTAAAAGGTTCAAGTATAGAGGTTTCAGAGGCAAAATGCAAAATATGCATCCCATCAAATCATTCTTACTTAAAATATATTGGTGTGGGTTTCCTCCGGGTGCTCCTGTTTCCTTCACAGTCTAAACATGTATGGGTGAATTGAATAAACTAAATTGATCATAGTGTATGAGTGTGTGTGGATGTTTCCCAGTACTGTGTTGCAGCTGGAAGGGCATCCGCTGCGTAAAACATTTGCTGGATAAGTTGGCAGATCATTTTGCTGTGGCGACCCCAGATTAATTAAGAGACTAAGCCGAAAAGAAAATGAATTAATGAATGATTGAATGTATGCGTGTGTGCGTGTGTGTGTGTGTGTGTGTGTGTGTGTGTGTGTGTGTGTGTGTGTGTGTGTGTGTGTGTGTGTGTGTGTGTGTGTGTGTGTGTGTGTGTGAATGAGTGTGAATGAGTGTGTATGGATGTTTCCCAGTACTTGGTTTCAGCTGGAAAGGCATACACTGCGTAAAACATATGCTGGAAAAGTTGTCAGTTCATTCCGCTGTGCTGACTGCTTATAAATGAAGGAACTAAGCCAAAGGAAAATGAATGAATGAACGAGTTTTTGCTACATTTGTTGCACTGAACAACATTTTAAAGAAGCTTCTGTAAGTCTATGAAAGTCAGAATGTTGCCTAAAAATAAAATCAAACTGGATTAATTCAAACATTAAAAATAAAACAATATTAACAAATTAAAAATCTATTTTTCTTTTCTTATTTTAATCTCTTTTGACCTATTATAGTGAGTATGTCCTGCATTACAACGAGTACACTTCATCTGACCTTTAATCGCTAATTCCCCTCGGTAGTATATTTAATCTGTCAGCTAAAAGTGTGCATTATGTGCACATAATCCAGTGACTGCAAGGTTGCTGGAGGCTCAGGCTGTACTGAGAGAAACGAGCAGGTTTATACAGCATCTCCTTCTGTGTCTCATTTGTACAAGCAAAGGCTTGTTACCTGCACATTCTATAATAACATCTTATCCAGAGCAATCCCGAGACCTCCATAGTCCCAGAATTTATTGTAAACTGCCCACACAGTTTACCATGTAAATATTCCTTAAACAAATTGATTTAGATGTTTACACAATGTAAGATAAGATGTTGTAGGCAAACATGCACAAATATAGAGAAAGGAAGACACACCTATGCATGCACTGCAAACAAGCAGGCCTTTTTTATCCTTAATGTTTGTTCTGGGTCTGTCTGTAAAGGCTAGGAGGCTTCATGTTCTCCACAGGGAGACTGTAATTGTACTGTTTGGATACAAGTTGTTAATTTTGCATAGTTTGCTCACAATATAATATATAAATTGTGACATAATTAAATAAAATTATAATTTGATGTATTTTTAAGCCATCTAGATATAACTTAAAGATATATAGTTTACTTTATTTTCCATTTATTTAAATGTCTTTCTTTGTGCTTGTGTTGATATGTACACTCTCAGAAATAAAGGTACGCGAGCTGTCACTGGTGTGGTACCTTTTCAAAAGGTACAAATGTGTAGTTAAAATGTCCATAATAATACCTCAAGGGTTCATATTGGTACCTAAAAAGTACAAAAGTGTTCCTCTTAAAATCAGTACAGTAAGTATACAAATATATACTCTTGAGGTACCAATACAGACTATTTAAGTACAAATGTGTATGTTTTGAAAAGACAGCTCGCGTACCTTTATTTCTGAGAGTGTATGTACCCTTTGCTTCTGAAAACAACAACGAATTTTCAAGTGTTTGCTTGGGGAATAAAGCTCATTCTGATACTGATTTTAGTTTCTGATTTAAATTACATTAACATGAATAGATATTAAAATTAAACAAGAGAGGTTTTCTAACAGAAATAAGAATATAAGTTTTCTAAAACTGAGTTGCTAATAACTTTTAGATTAAATGTGAAAATCTATTTATCTTTTACGGAATAATATCTAGTACACAGCAAATTCCTGGAGTTGAAAAATTGGGCAAAAAAGTGTGAGACAATAACCTTTTTAGAGTTTATTTTTGAACTCTAACATAATTTTGTGTTGTGGGATACTCCCTGCTGTATTGTATTTTGGAGTTCATTTGCTGGTGTTCAGGAACTACTTACTGAAGTTACATTTTTAGAAAGTTTGGCAATACACAACCCTGCTGAGCAGCACAAAAGAACTGGAGTTGTGTACTTCGTTGTGTGTGCATTGTTATACAATTCTAAAAGCTTTTTCAAAATGTTGTATATTTTGTGACAGAAATGTGTTTTACTGCAGGTGTTTTGTTTTGTACTGTGACGCTGCATGTGGCGAACTTAGCATCTAACATAAGTTAGCTTTTCTTGATCAGATGAAGAAACCTGCTGTTCACTTTTCAAATATAGGCTAACTTACACAACAAGGTAACGTTAATATCTTTTATTTTATTAAGCCATTGGTTTCAGTTGGCATTGGCTGCCAACGTGTATTAATTGTAAATGTTTTGATGTTAGATTTAATGCTATTGTGACAATTAATTTCAAAGTGTGTCCATTGATTGAATTTCTAAATCTAATGTGTGGATTTGCATAATTAAAAGCAGTAAGTAAAAAGTATTGCATCAGTTCAGTCATTTTCACAAAAAATATATATTGTTTGAAGAACATTTTAACTCTAAGAAGTGTTAAATTTTAACATTGGTGAGGAGTTCATATTTTGTTAAGATTTAACTCCAAATGCAGAGTGATTTTAACTCTGCAGGGGATGGTCACGCATGTACACTCAGATTGAGTTGATTTTAACTCCAAGGGAGTTTGTTCCAAAGACCAGAATTTGTTGTTTAATAACCTGTCAGTTTTGAGTTTTGACATTTGTGTCCAATATAAAGAAAACTTTCAAAATACAGTGTGTACAGTAGCCTATATTGTCCCTTTATCAGTTTTGTAGATATCGGTTACAATCAATACTTTAAAAGGTATTTTTTTTTCTTTATTGTTTCTATGCACTGAGCTAAACATATTTAATTCAACATGACTCACATACCCCAAACTTGATTATTATTAAACGTTTTTCCACAATGTTTTTATATTCATAATCAGTCTGATTATGCAAAATATTATTCTACCAAGTGAAAAATTTATAAATAAATATATACAGAAAATATTTAATCTAACTGTTAGCAGTTGGGTGTATGGGGAAATAAAAGGAGATCCCCTCTCTGGAAAACTTCATCCAATGTTCTTCCAATTTCTTTTGCAAATTAGTTAATTACAACATATTTATTATCTAAATGCATCATTTGCATATTTTAACACAGCATTTTAGAAAACAAGGGCAGCACGTTGGCTAAGTGGTAGCCTCAATCAGAAGGTCACTGGTTGGAGTCCCAGCTGCACAGGAGGCTTTTCTGTGTGGAGTTTGCATGTTCTTGCCACGATTGTGTGGGTTTCCTCCATGTGTAAGTGAATTGGATAAAATAAATTGGTGGTAGTCTGTCTATGAATGAATGAATGTGTGTGTGTGTGTGTGTGTGTGTGTGTGTGTGTGTGTGTGTGTGTGTGTGTGTGTGTGTGTGTGTGTGTGTGTTTCCCAGTACTGAGAGTTGTACTGTCAGGGTTGTGGCTGGAAGGCCATGTGTAAAACATTTGCCCGGGTAATGGGTGGTTCATTCCGCTGTGCAACCTGAAGCAAAAGTGATTTAAAAAAACTTTGTACAAAAATGTTACAATTCATAATGTAATCCATAAACTAGGTAATAGTAACAACTATTAGGCCATTTTATCCCCAGCCATAAAGTCACTGTATATATATATATATATATATATATATATATATATATATATATATATATATATATATATATATATATATATATATATATATATATATATATATATATAGTGAAAATGAAAGTTAAGCAAATCTAGAATTGTTTCTTCATAAACAGATATTTTTACGAAATATCAGTTTATGAAGAAATTTAATTTATAAACATAAAAGTTATTTAAAATTAAATACAAAACTGCATTTTCCAAAAAGGTTCCGACTCTGAAATACACTAATGTTTTAATTATACTGAGCGAATAAACTGAAGTGGGGGAAAAAAACAAGTGTTCGCTGTACCTTTATTTTGAAGTGCTGTCAATGTCGGCGCCGTTGTTGAGGTTTGCGCGCGCTCGGCTGCTCAGCCAATCGTACCTCTGACAACACTCACGTGACTCTCATGATCTTCAGAGCAGAATGGCGGCTCTTTTGGAATCGGTGCTGCAGAGTAAAGTGGAGTTAAGCGAGGCTGTGCTGTGGCTCAAAGGACTACATGTAAGAGTTAATACAGCACCTGTGTTTCTGTCTAACGCTCTGCTGTCTGACTGTCATTGCCTAGTGGACTGTTAAAGGGGTTGTTTACTCAATATCTGGCTGCTAATCTTACAGCTACGTTAGCAAACAAACATTAAAAGAGTCTCTTTACTAAATATTCCAATGTGAATGTTTGTTTATGTTAGATTTAAGCTTAATGCTTCGACGAAAGGAAATAAAGTCAAAGATAATCTTCCGGCAGTTTGCTGGAACGTTGTCATATAAATGTTCCTTTTTACAAATGTTTTTGGCCAATGTAAATATTCCAGAATGTTATGATTATTATGATATATATCATTATATGTTTAGGATGATACAATCTTTGTTTTATTTTCTTCAGGATTGTGAATTACGTTTAATGTATTGTAATGTAAATGCCTTGTTTTACAGTTCAGTGTAATTTTGAAACTACTGTAGAGTTTATTATTAGTGATTTAAGTTCTATTCATGTGTTGTTTCGTTATTTATTAATACAAGGTTTCTGCTGGTTCCACCAAGTTAAATTTAAGACTATTTAAGACATTTTTAAGAGCATTATGAATTAAATTTTAGACTAACCAGGTTAAATAATACAGATTTTGCAGAGATTAGCAGTGTTATTGATTCTCAGGCAAATTCCAGAATAGAATACAGAATACAACTCTGTAAAGAATTAACATTTTACCCTATTAACAAACCCAACCCAAACTAATTCCTGACTATGATTTTAAAGTCCTGGTGTGGCTATCATTAAATACAGTTAAAGCTTCCATCTTTATATAATAAAGAGAAAATTAAAATAAAATGCAAAAAAAAAGAGAAATCTAAGGATTATTCTGGAATATCCCAGTTAGAAAAGATTTTCAATTGCTCTATCTAAAAATGATTATAATTAAAAACAGTTAACAATAAAATAATAATAGTTTAATAATACAAATATAGGACAATTCGGTGTCGGTGGAGAACTTTTAAACAAATGGTACTGTAAGGAAAGTGATTCAATACTATTTTTAAATATAAAGTTAAAAGTTTAAAACATTTTATGGACTTTAGGATTGTTGGTGATTATATGGGTGTTTATGGCCAGAATAAGGAGCTACACATAAACAAAGGAAAATTAAGACCTGTTAAAAAAACGATTTAAGACCTACAACACAATATTTCGGTTAATTTAAGACTTTTAAGGCCTAAAATGTAGCTTTTGAGATTTAAGACATTTTAAGACACTGTAGGTATCCTGTAATATATAACTTTTAAAAATATCAATAAATTAAATTAAAAGTTTTTATTTAGTTACATTAGTTATAGAGTACAATCTAAGCAATAGTTTTTTTTTTTAATTCCCAAGTTCTGCTGGTTGACGCATGTGCCGAATTTTCATTGCCAATCTTAAGCCAATTGTGATCACTTGTTTTGGTTCAATTTGATATTTCCACAACCCTCGCAAAGCTCGGGGGATCAGAATAAGCGCTCCTACTTGGCCCCGCCCTGATCTGCAATAGGTTTCAAAATAAAAAAAAATAAATAAAAACTTTTAAGAAACATTTTATTTCGGTTTTTAGATTTTTGATATTCAGAGTAATTTCTGATTAAGGTTCATTTTAACTGTCTCTATATCTCTAAATATTTTTAAATATCTCTAAATATTTTTAGATCACTCTACTCTAAATATTGGGTCTGAAATGGCGTGCAAGAATGACTTCAAAACAATATTAGCACTAGTTAATTGGCTGAACAGTGTTATACTTTGATAGTCATTGTCTGCTAATATGATTTCCCTATTCAGAATTTGCTAAGAATACTTTTCTGCATTTATAGTATTAAGGAGAAAGTCAATGTGCGAATATGAAAGCAACTTTACCTCAATTAATTTGTTAACTTTTTTTTCTATTATCCTGTTTAAGCTTAATTTCAGTTACTGACAACAATTAACTGTGGTTTAGGTTGGAAGAAATTATGATAATAATATTAATAATATAAAATGATTTATCATTATATTATTTATATTTACTCATCTGGAAAGTATTCATAGCGCTTCACTTTTTCCACATTTTTTATGTTACAGCCTTATTCCAAAATAAATCTAAAATTATTTATTTAAAAAAACCTGAAAAATCGCATGTACATAAGTATTCACAGCCTTTGTCGTGAAGCTCTAAATTGAGCTCAGGTAAATTCTGTTTCCACTGATCATTCTTGAGATGTTACAGCAGATTAATTGGAGTTCACCTGTTGTAAATTTAGTTGATTGGACATGATTTGAAAATGCATACACCTGTCAATATAAGGTCCCAGGGTTTACAGGGCATGTCGAAGCACAAACCAAGCATGAAGACAAGGGAATTGTCAGTAGACCTCCAAGACAGGATTGTGTCAAGGCACAAGGCTGGGGAAGGTTATAGAAAAAAATTTTGCCGCTCTGAAAGGTCCATGAGCACAGTGGCCTCCATCACCCATAAGTGGAAGATGTTTGGAACCACCAGGACTCTTCCTAGAGCTGGCCGGCCATCTAAGCTGAGTGATCGGAGGAGAAGGGCCTAAGTCAGGGAGGTGATCAATAACCTGATGGTCACTCTGTCTGAGCTCCAGCATTCTTCTGTGGAGAGAGAAAAACCTTACAGAAGGACAACCATCTGTGCAGCAATCCAGCAATCAGGCCTGCATGGTAGAGTGGCCAGACAGAAGCCACTTCCCACCTGGAACTTGCCAAAAGGCATCTGAAGCACTCTCAGAACATAAGAAACAAAAATCTCTTGTCTGATGAGACTAAAATTGGACTCTTTGAAGTGAATGCCAGGTGTTAACATTTGGAGAAAACCAAGCACCGCTCATCACTAGGCTAATACCATCCCTACAGTGAAGCATGGTGGTGGCAGCATCATGATGTGGGGATGTTTTTTAGCAGCAGGAACTGAAAGACTAGACAGGATAGAGGGAAAGATGAATGCAGCAATTTACAGAGACCTGCTTCAGACTGGGGTGACGGTTCATCTTCCAGCAGGACAATACCCAAAGCACACCGCTAAAATATCAATGGAGTGGCTTAACTCTGTTAATGTCTTTGAGTGGCCTAGCCAAAGCCCAAACCTAAATCATATTGAACATCTCTGGAGAGATCTGAAAATGGCTGTACACCGTCACTTCCCATTCAACCTGATAGAACTTGAGAGGTACTGCAAAGCAAAATGGGCAAAAATTCTCAAAGACAGGTGTGCAAAGCTTGTGGGATCATATTCAAAAAGACTTGAGGCTGTAATTGCTGCTGAAGGTGCATCAACAAAGTATTGAGCAAAGGTTGTGAATACTTGTGAACGTGATTTTTCTTTTTTTTTTTTCTTTTTCTTTTTTAAATTTGCAACAATTAAAAAAAAATCCCCCACTGTTATTATGGGGTATTGTGTGTAGAATTTTGAAGAAATAAATTAATTTAATCCATTTCGGAATAAGGCTGTAACATAAAAATATGGAAGAAAAAGTGAAGAGCTATGAATACTTTTCCGGATGCACTGTACATTATTTAATGTACTGTGCGTACTTACCATGAGAGGGAATTAATGGTGCTTATTTATTTATTTATTTATTTATTTATTACATAATTTAAATGGATTATTAAACAGTATACACTACGATATATTGACAAAGCAAGAAAGAATGAGAATAAGGAAAGGTGTGCGTTTTTGTGTTTTAAAGTGTGTACTTGCATGGTGAGAGATGAGTAAAGAAATCTATTTGCTTTAGTTTTGCTGGCGGTTTTTCTGCACACTGACAACTGCAATTCAGATTGCTATTGTTTAAAACAAGGTTTAAAATGTGTAAACTCTCCTTAAACAGATAAACTTCATTGAGAGATTTGCCAAAAGGCCTAAAATTAATGAGACAAATACTGATCCCCACACGGAGTGGTCACAGCAGTCTTATCAGCACCTGAGCTGGGGAAACTGTATTTCATCAGACAGATCATATTCAGCTGCTGCGCAGCCTCCTCGCATGGAACAGAACCATTCAAGGTGTTTTAGACAATTTTTTTCTGACAGACTAGCATAATAAGCAGACATCTCCATTCACACTACAAGTTTCTGAGTTTTCTCCAATTGCCGTGAGATTGCATTGTTTTGAAGCACTTCCAACCGAGTTTGTTCCACCGAGGTACTGTTGCGAATATTGTACAACACCTTTCCTGCTTATTAAAATTATTTGATTAAATTGTAATTTACCGGCGCAACATGGAAAACAGTTTAATATAGCCTTCTCTAAAACTGAATTATTCACTCTAATTTTATTTAGGTTATATTGTTATTTTATTTGACAATCCAGTTCGTGATTCTGCATTTTTGAAGCACAGCGGATCTGTTTTGAAGCACTTCACCTCATGTTATTCGTTCTTCTATTTTTGTTTAGAAGATAACTGACCAAGAAAAATCTTTAAATAAAGAGACAAACTATATACAAAATTCATTTTAAAAAGATATTTTTTCCAAGAAAAATATGATTTATAGTTTTGTTTGAGCCCGTCCACTACTCAACTGTGCGGGTGGATGATTTTTGGTCAGTGGAAAGTAAGGATTTAATGAATGCTTTGCTAAATGTTAAACAATCTTCTGTCATATATTTGCAAATGTTTTAATATGTCATAACTTTTAAGATTAGAGGGGGCGGTTCTGGAATAAAATCCTGCAGGCGCCCCTGTGCTGAGATATTTAAAAGTTCATATCTATATCTAATATCTGTGTGTTTGTTTTTTGATAGCTGCATTTTGCACAATATTGATACAAATATGAATATTCATTTAAATGCAGCATGTGTCTTGGATCATAATTTAAATTTTTTTTTCTTTGTGTTTGCAGGTTTGTGAATCGCAAAACTTTCCATCCAGGGTCACCAAAGAGGAGTTTGTGCCTTTCCTTTTGAATTTTTTGCGGGACCAGAGCAGTCAGACATTAACCCATGGCCCTGCCACCCCTGCTAAGACACCCAGCACCTCCAGATCTGTCAGGATTCAGAACTCTTCAGAGCGGAGAGTCAGCAAATCTACACCGGTCCAGGGTCTGCGCAGTGCCAGTCGAGTTCAGCTGTTCTCTCCTGCCCCATTTACGTCCCCGGGGGGTGGGAAGAATGACCAAGACACCCCATTTACAGGCTCTCTTTGTTTGAGTGGCATCAGTGCCCTCAGCAGCCCTTCCTTCAGCTCAGTCTGGAGTCCTGTGCCCCGTAACAGCCCTTCCGAGCGCCGTTCTGCCCAGCGGCCCAGTCTGGGAGACTTCATGACATCACCTCCAGAGACCCAGCCCAGCCCCTCCGCACCGCCACACAGAGGCCGCAGGAGGAGTGCCGGGTTTGGTGGGGGGACGTCCAGCCGGCAGACGGGAGCTCGTGGTGCTGTCTCAGAGGAAGGAGGTGGCAGGAGGAGTAGAGGTGGGGGGAGAAACGATTCGGTGTCACCTCAGACACAGGTGCAGCTCAACTTCAATAATTTGGAAGACTTTCCTCCAATGGCCCAGCCTTCACCAATGTAAGTGAGGAGTAGGTGATGAATACAAGTAAAAAAAAAAAAAGTATCCATATTATAATAAATTAAAATAAAAATAATAAAATATAACAATAGGGTTAAAACATCTAGATATCTCTATATTGAGGGTTCATTTATTATCAGGAGTCAACTGTATGGACTAACAAAATAAAAATGAAAAACAATTTTACAGAATTTATTAATCAAAGTTTTTGTTAATTTCCACATTTACTAATACTGAGTATTTATTACATTACATTTCATTCGTTTTATTTTTTGACATTAATTCATCGTGAGCTAGCTTGAAAAAGAAATTTTTAGAAAATTTTAATTAGCTAGCAGTAACAAAGGTTAATCAGTGCTCTAAAGTAATATTAATATGCTTCTATATTTAATAATTTGTTCATATTAATTATTGTTGCAAATGACATTGCATTGTAAAGTTTTAATAGAATCTATTAAAATGAATTTTAAATGACTTTTGAAAAACAATTATACTATTTTTACGGAAAACGTTATGCTTTTGTCATAATTCCTGAACTCTATGCCATATTATCTTTAAATGCATGCATGTATATTTATAATATATTCGTAATGCGTATATAAAGCAGAATGGAATCAGTGTTGAAAAAATAACATTTTTGAAATCCAGCCTGAAATAGGAACAAAATCCAATTTTTTTGTTTAACTGAAGACATGATGAGATCTTTTAGAGAAGATGCCGTATCGGGCACACAAGACTAACACGAGTATTTACTCAAAAGTTAAGAACCCCTAAAATGTCAGTATTGCAACATCAAACAACAAAACCAAACTGTTAAACTTGTTTTTGTGGAATGCCCTATTTTTAATAATGATAATAATAAATTTTATTTGGATAGCACTTTTCCTACATACATGCATCTCAAAGCGCTTCACAAACAACAAACAATTAAAATAAACCAAACCAAAATGAAAACTAAATAGAAAATGTATAAAGCATAATAAACAACAAGTATATACTCAGATAAAAGCATATATGTACATGCATATATGCATATATCCACAGAATCACAAACACAATGCATACATATATACAACTACACAATATACATAATATGCATAAACTTCACAAACTGTTGTATTCATACGCAATTTTAAAAAGATGCGTCTTAACATGCTTTTTAAAAACATGAATGCTGGGGGATTCTTTCACTTCATTTGGGACACAATTCCAAATTTTTGGATCATAGTGACTAAAAGAAGTGCCGCCAGATCGCATCAGGTTTACAGAGTGAAATTCTAAAAGTCCATCTCTAGAAGAGTGTAGGAAACGGTTTGGATTATTTTGATAAGCAGTCAGAAATGTAAGAAGGTGTCCTGTTGTGTAGTACCTTATAAACTAATAAAAGAATCTTAAAGTCTATGCTTTGGTGCACTGGTAAACATTGTTATTCTATTAATGCTGGTGTGATATGGTCTTGTTTCTTTAATTTCATTTAAACTCTGGCTGCTGCATTTTGTATCAGTTGCAACTTGCTTAGGTAAACCAGTATAAATAGCATTGCAATAATCAAGCCGAGAGAAAATAAAAGCATGAATTAATTTCTTAGCATCATCAAAGGATAGGAAAGAACAAATTATATATATATTCATGAGATTTATTTATTGGCTAAAGGTTCATCATACCATTTATTTTATGTATTCCATATTTATATAAAATATTGTACATTATAATTGATTGATTTGTAAACATAATGTTTATAATTCATTTGTTCTCTTAATTTTTATCTAATACATTAGTGTGTGATATGAAGTGATTGCAGTGCACAACAACAATCCAAAATTTCATTGCCCCAAAACCTTTTTTTCTTATATGCGGGGGTCACATTACAGTAGACAAGAAAAGATCCATATAATAGATGTTCTGGCAGATTGTAATATATATGTGAATACAAGTTAGCACAATTACAAATACATGTAATTTAAATAGAAATACAAGACAAAAATACAAATAATCTACAACTTTTATGCGTTTTTTGCAGAGCAACCAAACCTTCACGGAGAATTAACCCAACACCTGTAAGTGCAGAGCGGCCGAACTCTAAACCTAAGAGCTGCTTTACCTCCACCCCTCTCAGCCTTCCTGCCAGTCCTCCTAAAATACCCGAGAGCACTGGCAGTCCTCACAATCTGCAGGAGGAGAGGGAGCTGCTGAAGAGAGAACGGTGTGTTGGAGCTGTTAGTTTCAGTTATATTTCTGCTTTTCTGTTCACAGTTAACCATAACACGTGTCTTTTCTAGGTCTAAACTTGCCCAGCAGACCAGCTCTCCACTAAAAACCAACTCCGAAATCTGTACCCCAACCAAAACAGTGCATATGCAAGGCTCAAAAGTGACTCCTGATTCCCAGTTGCCTTGCCCTGACCCTGACAAAGTGACACAGAAATCAGAGTTGGATCTCTTAGCGGGGCTGTATTGTGCCTGCATTTCAGGTAAATGGCCTGCAGAGGGTGTTGTGTGCTGTTTTTTTATTTATAGTTAATCAAAGATTTTTGTGAGTGTGTCATGATTCACAGCTTGGCTAACATTCTAACATTGGATAACATTGGTTAACATTCATGAATTATTTCTAATTGATTAGTTGAATAAAGGTAGTGCATGAATCATGTAAACCAGGCCTGGTGAAAGGGAGTTCTTTTTTCTCAAGAGGTGCGGTTATTCGCCTTATTTTCTACTTAATTATAAGATTTAAATACTGCCTTTAGGTTACATTTTAAGCACTATTTTTAGCTGAATTAGCTTGTTGGATGCTCATCATAACCACACTTTTTGATGTACCAAAATATTTCCTAAATATTTAGAATAAAGAAATAGGTCCCACTTTATATTTAGTGTCCCTAACTACTATGTACCTGCATCAAAAAAATAAATGCAATGTACTTACTGTGTTTATAATGTATTTGAGAGCACTTGTGGTGCTTTTGAGTTGGAATAGAGGTTGGGTTATGGACAGGTTTGGTGGCATGGGTAGGTTTAAGGGTGGGTTAAGGTGTATGGGATGGTCAACAGTGTATTTACAAATGTAATTACGGAAGTTAATTAGAGATGTAGTTACATACATGTATTTAATCAAGCATTAGTACACAGTAAAGACATGTATTTACACAATAAGTACATTGTAACAAACATTAATTCCTATGTAAGTACATATTAGTTAAGGCCACTTAATATAAAGTGGGACCAAGAAATACAACATACTGTATTTTTTTTTTTAAATACAAATTTATTACATCATATCATTATAAAAAAAACGTTTCAAATTAAAAACTCTAGCTTATTGTAACTTGAGCAAATAACAAATTGGCACATTCAATATTCCTCAGTCAGAATTTGACCATTTGATTATTAAAAAAACTGAAACATAATAATAATATTAATTTAGAGCTTCACATTTTTTTCTAGCCTCTCGTAAAAGTGCTTCACACTTTTTTTTCATTGGTCATGTTTTTTTTTTTTTCAAGAATAAGGTCCAAGATTTATATAATAAAAGGTTCTTGTCAAATGTTTTCTCTGTTTAAAATCAATTCAGTTATGAAAGATGACATTGCTTATGTCAGATGTTTCCTTGTACGGCTAGATGTTGGACTCTTGAAAAATAATTGTTTGCATTGGCCAAAACTGATTAACTAAAGTCACACCAGGATTCCGCTTGGTCTTAAATCTTTTTAAATGGGTTATTTTCACTATCTGTGATGGCTAAGCAGTCAAAGTTGGACAAATGAGTTCATGAATGGGACACATTCTGGGTCTTTCGGTTGCCCTCCCCGACTATGGTCCTGTAAACTATTAAAAAATTTGGAGTCAGTAAGAATTTTGAAGAGAATTAGTAATCTACAAATATTATGCATTGCTATTTCAAATAATTTTTTATTCTGCAATTTATGTTTAATTATATTTTTATATATTAAATATGTTTACTTTATATATATATATATAGTGCTCAAAATGACCACTAATACATTTACAGTGTTAAAAAAAAATGCATAGTTTAATAGCTGTTCCTAAATAAATTAAATCCTAAATAAAATGTATTAAAGTTTCCACAAAGTAAAAATATTTTTGCTGCAGAACGTTTTTTATTTTTGTAAGATGCTTAATCACTAAACTGTGCAAATTGCAAAAACATGTTGGTTGTATGAATTAAAAGCTAATAATATTATCAATGCTTTAGAATTATCTTTGTCATAAATTCTTCAAGTTGATGGTTTGTCATGACAGACGTTTTTCTAAAGTGAAACTGAAAAGCCAAAAAAGTATGAAGATACATTTAGTGTAGCTCTGGAGATCAACTTAATGTGTCCTCAGATACTGGGACAGGAGACTTGTTAGCAACATTTTCTGGTCTAGCTGTTGTTGCGTTTATCTCTGCTGCTTTGTTTTAAACTTGTTTTACATTTGTATTGAGAAAAAAAATGCTCAGAGCTAATTGTCACTTACTAAAATATTATAATGTTTTTGATATGTAAATAGTTTTGGATGGGTCCCTCACAAATGTAACTTCTTTTCTTTCACAGAGAGGACTGCATTTTTTACAATATACCAGGATATTAAAAACATTGTTTTTCACTTTTAAAAATGTGTTATGCTTCTAGAAAACCTGGTTCCATGTATCTTCCTGGAGATGTTCTTTGTACTGCAGCTCTTGACATCTCGTGGCGTGTCTGGGTCTGAATCTGCAGAGCAAGGAATCAGTGTTTGTGAAGACAGTCCAGGTTGGTTTGATCACAATCTACATCAATGTTTTAAAACATACTTCATTTTTTATGGATTTTGTCTACACTTACATGTGAAATCATGCTGAAGAGATGTCAGAAAGATCAGTCGTTTCATAATCCCTCTGTCAGCACAAAGCTAATAAGAGTATAGCTTTTAAAAAATGAATTATGCATTTGGTTATGGTTTTATATTATTTTTTCACATTGACGTTTTTATTATTTTTAATAACAATAACAGTTTTGCAATTTAGCAGTAATTTGTAGAATCTTGCAGGAAAGTAATAATTTGTCAATTATTTTTTAAATTTATTAATATATTCTTGTATATCTTTTCATAATTGTTTTTTTTTGATTATGTGATTTGCTCATCTAAAGGCAAACAGAAACTCCTTCCATGAAAAAGGCATTGCAGTTGTTATGCAAATAATAATAATAATAATAATAATTATTATTATTATTATCATTATTATTATTATTATTATTTAAAAATAGTTGAAATAAGATTGTTTTTGCAGGCATTTTCTTTTATTATTATTAAAAAATTAATCAGTCTCTGAATTATTGATGCTGATTAATTTTCTGTGTTTTTTCATTCATGTCTTTGTAGATGTTCTGGAAAAAGCTTACCTAGGAAATGTCCACAACTGTGTGTATTTTTCTGTGAGAGTGTTGGAGAAACAGTTTGAGTAAGTCTGATTATAGTGTTATTACTGTGTTATTACACATCATTGTCAGAGTGCCTGATTATTTCTTTTCTATTTGTCAGGTTGGTGTCACACCTGGATAAATGCACATTACGGCTTCTGTCTGAAAATGAGAGAGTGGGGACTTTCTCCTCCTCCCTTAAAGACTGCTTGGCAGAAGCTCAAGACAACTGCACAGCTAAAGTAAGCATTCGTTTAAAAGCAACCAGTAAGTTCTGTTTTGAAAGCTCACGCTGAATAATGTTCTTAATTTGTTAGGTACCTCCTAGTCCGCCCTTATTTGTTCATTCAGTCCCGTTCCAGCCTGCCACAGACAACCGCTCTAATTTTAGCAGCGACAAGGCCTTTCACACCTTTAAAAAGCAGAGGTACATTTTTCAAAACATACATGAGTTACTTGGCAAATCAGTTGCTTAGATGTACATGGTTAATGTTGTGTTTTTTTTTTCTTATGTTGTAGGGATGTGTTTTATGGGCTCCTCAGAGAATGGGAGGACTCTCATAAGGAGCCTGGCTGGGATTTTGAGGCAGCATTAGGCAATAGAGTCAGGTAATGTCTGTTTATTCATATAGCCATTCATATAACAGTCTTAATATTGACCACTAACATCTTATGGTAATTGTTTTAATCCTGATTCCCAATGTGAATTCTTTCAATTTTCACTCACAGGATGATGGTCAGTCAGCTCACAGCAGCAGGAAGCCAGTCTCACTTTGCTAGACTCTTCCAGAAGCAGCTTGTCCAGGTGGGCCACAATGGCTGATTATACTCCCTTTTCCTTCCTGTTTTGTATTCAATGATCATAGATTGTTGTTGTTGTTTTTATCTAGATGTGTAAGGGCCCGAGTGTGCTGGCCTCCTCCAGTGATGCACCTGATGCTGATCTGCTTGGCATGCTGGGGGCAGACAGCCTTGGCCGTCTAAAGCGCCTACAGCAGCGTCTGGTCCAGCCTCAGAGTCTCATTGGTCCCTGTCCTCCACCTTCCTTTCCTGGACATCAGGAGTTCTTCAAGGGCTTTCTTCAGACAGCCAGCAGGTAAATGTCTTCATCGCAGGTCTCATATTCTCATGATGTCCTACTTCAGCTGAATGAATTGGTTTGAGAGCAGTTTGTGTTCCTTAGTTGTTGTTGTTTTTTTTTTACAAACAGGAAGTGCCTTTCTCTGAACTCTTATCTGGTCTGAGTCTAGTTTGTACTATTTCCACTGGAAATTTGAGCTAGTGATGTTGTTCTCTCCACTTTTCTCCTGCTCTCTAGCACTATTCATCATCATTCACTCACCAGCTTCTTTAATTTCCCTTTTTTTAATCATTTGCCTTTTTTTTAATCATTTACATTCACTTTTTATTTCATGCAATTTCTTTACCTGCATAAACATTTGAACTTTTTCGTATGCCAGGTTCAGTGCTTCCCACACATAGACTTTACATGGGCAGGCCATCCAGATATATTAATGGCTGCCCAAGTATATTTAGTGACATATTTTTTTGTTAATATTATTATCATCCTTTTACACAGTTTTTTGTATCGGCCCAATCATCTCTCGTTTACCCATTTTGTTCTGTGAGTGAGAGCTGTCAACACTCCCACAGACAGTCTCGCGTGCTTTGCAGACCCGCAGACACGTACCGTTTTTGGGACTTAAAATATTCGTCTGACTGGGTTTTTAAATCTCCTAAAATGTTTGGGATTCGGCTTTTGCTTTCTAAAGCCGTTAATCATTTGTTTTTTTGCATTACCCTTTTACTTTAGCCTACTTTCGCTTGACTTTGCAGCTGACTGCGCACAGAGTGAGAGAAACATTAAATAATTCATTCTTTAATCGAAATGGTTCAGAAAAAATGTACTATACTTGAAGAGGATGAAATGACTGGTCTAAACTGGCTGAAAAAATATATGTACACCAATATTAATGGTTAATCAATTCATATGCCTTATTAAAATAATCTACAAGTTATAGTTTTGTAATTATTATAAATTTTAGAGATATTGTCTGTTTTTATTCCCTTTTCTATCATTTATTTCTCATTTGCTGATAATTTTAATAATTTGATTGTGTGTGTGTGTGTGTGTGTGTGTGTGTGTGTGTGTGTGTGTGTGTGTGTGTGTGTGTGTGTGTGTGTGTTAGTGTGTGTGTGTGTGTGTGTGTGTGTGTGTATACATATACATATAAAGAGTTCAGATGCAAAACCCTCTAAATCCATCTGATCTCTCTTCTTGTAAATGAGCAATTTCTATCAGGCTCCTATAGTTAGGTTCAGGTGTTTCATTTTATATGTAATAATAAGGTTATTAGCTGGTAAATAAAATACCTTTTTTTTTTTTTAAATGTCACTTCAGACAATTCTTAGTATTTTAAAATGGTAAATTTTCTTTTGCGTCAAAACCAGTTAAATCCACTTGTGCTTTTTATGCAAAACCCTATAAAACCACTTATTGGAACAGTGTAATTAGTTGTAATTAATTGAAAATCACTAGAGATGCAATTAGAAATAATTTTACCAAACCTAAACGCATACACAAACCACCCAAAATTAAAAATATATAAATCTATCAAGTTAGTGGCGCTTCATTCCGCTGTGATAATCCATGGAAAATGAATAAAATCTGTCAAGTAAGTACATTAATCAATAAAATTAAAACTGACATTAATCAATCTTAACAATATTGTCATTTCTGATATTTGGGATTTAGATTTAATGAAAGAAGAACATTGTAAACATTGTAATATAAGCTTGGTAGATTCAAATAATGTAGTGTAAAAACATTGTGAAACATTAATATCTGTGCATTGTCCATTAATATAAAAAGCTTATCAGATTATTAGGTAACTTGAAGTAAAACAAATAATGTATAGTTTTATACATTATATTTATCTTTCAAAAAATAGCTTAAATAAGCAAATAAAACACAAGGTAGGCCTACTGGGCAAAAAGGGTATGTCTCTCAGACAATTTTAAAAAGCTGTCATTCATTCATTCTCACCATACTTAAGGTCTTGGTCTCTTGTTTATCCTCATAGCATCCATGTGGGATAAAAGAACAGCGTCTTTCGTGAAACGCAGTTGTTTTTTAATGTATAGTAAATCGGGCTCATTCAAAGTAGCATCACTGTGCAAAAACATGTTATAAATAGATGTTACACTTCCAACTGTACAGTATGTTTGCTTTTTCTTTTAATGCAACGAGTTTTGAGGTAAGGGACGTTTTCATTTGCCATTTACTGACGGTCGGACAGGCTCATGCAGTTCATCAAACTTTTAAAAATCTTTTAAAATCTAAATCAAAAGCGGAATATGTCTCCTCAAAAGCTGGTGTATCAGCGCGCTGCTACATTGAACACATATGATTCGATTTGCACCTTCTGATTGGTTTTCGGGATATAGCGGCTTTTACTGTCAAAGGCAAGTGCTGTTTAGCGACTTTTGCCAGCAAACTGTTATTTCTGAATGTGATGACGCCGGGATTTAGATGATTTAAAGCAAATCTATTTGTTGATGGTCTAGTACATGCCTAAAGCATATCTATGTGATATAGGCTATTTTATATACATATCTAAAATTTGGAAGTTTGCTTTGAACTTGAAAGAGAGACAGAAGCAGATTTTACCTGTCAGTGGGTGCACATGGCTTCTGAAAAGCATAACAGAGAAATGGTGGATTTATTTTTTATTTCAAATTTTTTTTTTTGCTTTAACTCATTAAAAAAACCCTGTCATGATAAATACAATTGTTAAAAATTAAAGTATCTTTTTTTTGTCCCATATAGTTAACTATTTATGCGATGTGACTAAAAGTTGTGTTTCAATCCGACTACCACCGCAAGTATATTTCAAACCTGTGGGAAGCACTGAGCGTAAAGCACATGTTGTCAGGAGTATAGTATTGTATGGACAGTCTGAAAAATCCAGATTAAAAGTCTCAGAACTAGGATTAGAATTTTAGTATCATTTTTATGGTTATTAGCTCTAATTCCATTCATCTTTTTACTAGCTGCCAGCTAAATCAGCACCTGAAAGATGGTCTGTGTCAGCAGCTGCTGAAGCTGGATGAGGTGTCCATTCTCGGTCCAGATGCGAGCCCTGCCCAGGGAGAGAAGACGGCTGATGGAGACATGGAGCAGCAGGTCAGAACAAAAAGCAAAATACCACAAAATACTCAAAGGCTTTGAATGGTTTTAAAACCTATTTTTGATTCAGGATGAGAAACAGCGATTCTCCTCTGTGCTGCTCACCGCTAGACTTCTGGCCAAGTTTTTGGGTTTCATCACTTTCCTACCTTACCAGACCTCTGAGCTACCATCAAGAGACATACAGGATGCTGCAGTCGCTCTGCGGAGCAAGGTATGCCCGTTATAAAGGCAATATTTGTTTTAATTGACCTAAAACAGATATATTCTTCAAGGCTCAGTATGTTTCATGTGTATATCATCAGAGTTTTCCAGTTCTGGACGTGTGCACGGTGTTGAGGAATTCAGTCCATCGTAGACGCACAATTCTGACAGTGCCATGGATGGTGGAGTTCTTATCTATGCTGGATTACATTGGACCACTTCTGCCTTGTTACAGGACCGCTCTGTGCCTTCTACTCCAGATCTACAAGCAAGTTTAACTACTAAATATTTGGCAGAGATTATTTCTGTGTCCAAATGCACTTGTCATTGTTTATTTGGGTGTTTCAGGAGGATGGTATTGGGTCGAGGAGGAGAGCTGTGCTACATGAATCAACTGCTCATGGTTGCAGTTTTAGGCTGGCTCTTCCAGGTGAGGGGGTCTCATTCAGTATTGCTGCAAAATGAACCAAAGTGGAACAATGATATGGCCTTTTTATCATTGTTAAAGGGTCATAAAACCCACTGTTTTAGAAAATTTCTGTTTATAGAAATACTAAGTGCATCTCTCACTCTGTACAAGATCTCACAGAGAGAGGTAGCAGACTAAAGAAGCTGGGAAATGTGTGGTTGAGATCACCCATAATGTAAAGGGCTTGAATAAGTATTGAAGGGTTAGGAGAGAGACACACCAATGTTTATTCATCATCAAGCAGAAAGCTATTGCAACAAATAAAACCTTTAATATGAACAGCATATGTTAACATTGTTTAACAAATGTATAGACATTGCTATATATATATAGACGGTGCTGTAATTTATTAGACTGCAAGCTAACATTGGAATATTTAAGATAATTATAATCTAAAGTGAATGCAAAGCAAGTAGGGTTCTCTTTCCACTCCTGGGTTTGGTAAAGTGTATCAGAAGATCTTTGGCATCATTTGATATTTTTGTTTTAGTATACACTATAAAAGATAAGAGCTTTCATTATAATTGGTAAACATTATAGCAACTGACCAAATTAAGCTGCTTTAGATAAAGAGATGAGTTATGATCTTGTCATATCCTTCTGTAATTGTAATATTTTTTTTTTTAGATCCCAGTTTTTCCAGAAGATCTCTTCTTCAGTGCAGATCTAAAGGAAGAAATGAAAGAACTGGAAAATAAAACAAGCTCTCAGGGCCTGGTTAGTGGATTGCTGATCTTCTGCTCTGGATACATTAAACAAAAGTTATGCGTTTTTCATATTAAAGGGCCATGAAACCCAGCAGGTGTTTACACACTTCCAGTTTGGAAAAAGTCAGGAAAGTGGGTGTGTCTAGCTCTGTTTAGGAGGGAGTGTCGGGGGAGGGTAAGAGGGAAGGATTTGGATAAAATGGGAGTTTCTATTATGCATGCGCTGATTTTCACAGAGCCAAAATAAACACACAGACACTGGGGAGAAAGACAGTGACTGTTTGATAACTGTGACACTGTGGAATGTTTGATACCACTCGTCTTATAAGAAAAATAACCTTCACATTTCTCAGTAACTTAGATGCACTCGGTAGGTAGCGTCAGAAGGCTGTGTGTGTAGACTATCCTGTCACAAAATGCGGTGAAAATTCATCACAACGGTAATAGTTTGATTGCGGTGTTTACATGTTTAAACTCGGAGAGCAGCATTTACAGTGGATCTTTCAGTCCATAATATTGTAGTGATATTATTGTACTGTAAACTAAGTAACTTAAAAATCATTTTGACTAAGGTCTGTCTTTAAAAACTGAAAGAGTTCTGCTGACGATACAAACTAACTTTGCCATCTGAATAAACAAACAAAGACCACTGATCGCTCACTTACCAAATCTGTAGTGACAGGACAATCAACACCAACTGGAGCCGTGTCTTTATTAAAAGGAGACGAGCTGCAAATCTGGATTTCACCATGTCCAAATGCGAAAAGCTATCGGATAAAAAATGTTCCATACAAACGTATTTCTGTCGCTTGCACTGTAATCCACAAATGAGTCCTGCTGCGCTCTCATAGAGGGAAAATGAAAACAAAACCTTCGTTGCAGCACATTTAAAAACGCAACACTGATGAACCATGTCTCCAAACAGTTCTTGTTCTTCCACTCCACTTGTTTTGACAACACAAAGTGGCGTCTCTCTGCCGTCTGAACACTTTATCAGGTAAAAACTTCTTAGTTCGTCTTCTAAGTTATCATACTTATTAATGAAGTTGCACCGCATACACAATAGTGCGCGCTGATTGCACTCTCAAAGGCGTCACAAAGTACTCCCAGGTACAGACAGCCAGTCTATACACTGGAATACACGCAAGGATCTAATCGGCGTGGCGCAGCATCTAAAATTAGTTTCAGACCGGAAGAATGAATTTGCTCAAAGTAACACAAAAACAACCAATTTTCACTTTTTTGTGTAATAATTGTGTCCTAATAGTGTTTTTAGCAGCGTGGGACACGTATACAACTTTCAACAGCTCAAAAATGTGTTTTGGTGTTTTCGTGACCCTTTAACACTAATGATATTTTCTTTGTACTTTTCAGGACACACTCCCATTAGTGGACCAACAGCTTCTCTACACTTGCTGTCCATATTTGGGTAAGAGCAAGCTCCTCTGGAAAAATGTGCTTCAGAATTATGCATTGCACAAAGAAATACAGTACATTCTAATTGATGGTGATTGATTTATCTTTACATCATTCTTTTTGAAGGGGAGTTTCGTAAACTTCTTGCTGCTTTTGTGGCTGGTAGCACATCCAAGAGTGGAGGCTTGATTCGCAAGATCACCCCCACGTCTGCAGAACCAAGGGGTCCTTCGACTACACGTTCACAGCAGAAACTTCAGGTAAACTGCCAGCAAATGTCTTCCATCTGTAGTATAATCGATAGTATGTTTTTAATGAGAGTTCATTAATGTTTTTGGATGTTTTAACAAAGGTTGACCTGGAGCAGGCCTTTTTTCACAACCAACCCCCTTCTCTGAGGCGTACTGTAGAGTTTGTTGCTGAGAGGGTCGGCTCCAACTGCGTCAAACACATTAAGTCAGTCTCCAAGATTTTTGACCCTTTTTCTTTCTTAGTCCATGCAAATTACTTTACATTTGTTTTTTATCATTTCATATTTCCCTAACTGTGTGGCAGAGCAACACTTGTGTTGGAGCTTGTGAGGGGTGGTGAGAAAACTCTCAGGGATAGCTTGGGTATGGAGGGCGTAAACACTGCCAAGCTAAACGACTGTATCTGTGCTCAGCTGTGTGATGCGGGCATGCAAGCTCTGGAGAGAGCAACCAGGTCAATGGCTTGCTTTTTTCTTTTAAGTATTTGGCAACACTTTATTTTGACGGTCCGTTTGAGTATTAGTAGACTGTCTGCTTAATATCTGTTGATATCTGTTAATATCTGCTCCTTCAACAGACTTTCAACTGACTATAAGAAACTTTGCAAGTACATGTCATTTTACACCAACCCTAACCTCAACCCTAACCCTAACCTAACAGTCTAATTATAATCTAATGAGAATTAGTTGGCATGTAGATGCATTGTAACTTAAATTTAGCAAACGGACCATCAAAATAAAGTCTGACCAAGTTTTTTGTTTAAAGTAAAACATGTTTTCTAAACATCTTTTGATCTAGATGTCTTTTGTCTCATCATGTCATGATAGGTTCTGCAGTGAGAATGCTCCAGGAGCTGTCCGAGTTCTTCTTCCTCTGGAGACCTCTCCTTCTGTGAGTAAAACAGTCGTTAGTTCGTTAGTTCAGTCCATTAATACTCGCTTATTTTATTGTTAATTTAAAAAACAAAGCTATAGGATGATAAATAATTTGCTTTGAGATGTGGTTAAAATGTGGTGTGGTTTAGGTCTTGACCACAGCTAAGAGCATCACCACTCGTTTGGCTACAGAAAAGGCTTGCAGCTGGCTGTCTTCCAACATCACAAGTAATAAAACCAATTTTCAGTGACGTTTGAAAATAGACTTACAGTGTTCAGCATATATAAGTGCACCCCTCACAAATCTATCTTTTAAATTCATATTTTTAATAGGAAGCTTTACAATATTATATTTTGGATATACATTAGATATTTACTGTATCAGCACTGAAGTTTAATCTGGAGCTTATCTAAGGAAATAACTTGCAATAACGGTCCAAAAACTACTACATCAAAATTTATGTTATAGAAAAATATTAAATACAAATTTAAAAAGGAAGAAAAATCAAGAAAAGCAAAAAAAATGTTAAAAATTTAGTTGAAATTTTGTAGGTTGTAATTTTTTTTTTTTCAATATTTTGCTTGAATTTAATTTTATTATCTTTCAATTTCTAAATATGTTTGGTGACTAAAATATTATTTTAATAAATATATCTGTTTAATAAAATGGTTTTGTTGAAATGCACCAAAATATCTAAATTCACTGTAAAATGGATACAAATATTCAATATAGGGTGTACTATTTTTCTGAGCACTATAATAGATATTTAGATATGCTATATTTGTGTTATATTACATAGTATGTTGTTTTTTTTCCCAAAAACTGATCTGAACTTTTTTTATATATCTCTTAGCACTGCTAAAGAGGGAGTGGAAGAGTGCCTTTGAGAGGGTAATGAAGAGCGTGCCCTCACCCCTCAGTGTAGATGCTGAAGAGGCTGAAGGATTAAGCAGGAGTCAGCAGGTCCAGAAGAGTGCCTCAGGGCTCAGTGCTGGGTCCACCTGTGTTCCAGGCTGTGCTCATAAAGTTCCACTTGGATCAGAAGTCATGATTGAAATTAAGGTGATTTTTGGTCAAATTTGCTAAAAACTGATTCATTGATAAATCTGTAGTCGATATGATTTGATTGATGCAAAACACAGTTTAATGGTGAGAAATGACACCTTCATAAAATATGCTAAAAAGAAACGTACAATCAAATTTGCTAATAAGTGTTTTCTTTTCTTTGACGAGGCTAGCAGAATTTGCCTTATTGTCAAATAAAATGAAAGCCATTTAAATGTTTTAGCTAATTGTAAATTAGTTGAAATCTAAATAACTAATTATAAAAATAAGTTATAACTGAAACTAGAAAAGTAAATTTCATAGACAAACTTTATGGTGACTTGAGAAAGCCTCGCCTGAAAGTTTGAAGTAGTTTTGAAGTTTAAATAACTGAAGTCGTTTTTAAGAAGTTTAAAACAGTCGGCATAGAGAGATAAGTACAAATATGTTAGCATGTTTCCAGTATGGATTGACATGTTTTTTGCTAGGGTGTTCTGAGTCGTTGTTAAGGAGTTGCTAGGTGGTTGCTAAGGTGTTCTGATTGGTTGCTAGGCAGTTGCTAGGGTGTTCTAGGTGGTTGCCAAAGCATTGCTAGGCGGTTGCTAGGGTGTTCTAGATGGTTGCTAAAGCCTGGTTTATAATTGTGCATCAAGTGATTGGCGTAACCCACGGAGCATGCAATGAAATGTGCATTTATACTTCTGCACGCTGTTTCTGTTGCTCTGCAAAAACACTTCTGAAACGCTAGCTGGCAGTAGGTGTTAATGTTCCTCTGTATCAAGTTTCTTTGCTGGTATTGTTTTTCTGAACGCTTTTCTGAATGTTTAAGTGGCTCAAACTCGCTCATTTTGAGGCGGGAAGCGGCGGACATGCAGCAACTCAAGGTAGACACAAAACAACAGTCTCCATTCGGAGCTCCTTCACGGGATTGCACACTCGTAAACACTCACTGCATCGGGCTTGTGCGCCTCTCACCTCAGCCCGCACTTGTCATCGCTACCAAGCCAACCAATCACAGAGCTTGTGCTTCGCTTCGTTGAGACGTGTAGTTATATTTTTTGGGAGGTGTGTGTCAGCATCGGGCTATGCGTTCACGTGCAGGCTGTGCTGTAGCATACGCGTGCGTTTGACGCAGACGTATAAATCAGCCTTAAGGCGTTGCTAGGGGGTTGCTAGGGTCTTCTAGGTAGTTACAAAGGTGTTACTAGATTGTTGCTAAGGTTTTCTGAATGGTTGCTAGGTGGTTGCTAAGGCATTGCTAGGCGGTTGCTAGGGTGTTCTAGGTGGTTGCTAAGGTGTTGCTAGGTGTTCTGAGTAGTTGCTAAGGCATTTCTAAGGTGTTGCTAGGGTGTTCTGAGTGGTTGCTAGGTGGGTGGTAAGGTATTGATAGATGGTTGCTAGCCAGTGGCTAAGGTGTTGCTAGTTGGTTGCTAAGGCAGTGCTGGGCAGTTGTTAAGGTGTTGCTAGGTGGTTGCTAAGGCATTCTGAGTGGTTGCTAGGTGGTTGCCCATGGTTTTGCTAGGCAGTTGCTATGGAGTTCTGAGTGGTTGCTAGGCAGTTGCTAACATAAGTTAGCATGGTTCTTGTATGAATTAGCATTATGCTAGCATGTTTCTAGCATAAACTAGCATGTTGTTAGCATGTTGTTAGTATGATTAGTATGTTTGTTAGTATGTTTCTAGCATGAAATGTTTTTGTTATTAGTATGTCTAATGTAGAGTCAATGGCAGTTTTTTTTTTCATTGGAAGTTTATAAGACAGTTGCTAGGGGGCTGTAAGTGGTTGCTAGGGTATGGCTAGTAAGTTGAAAGGTCATCAGTGATTGGCAGATTGGTAGTCTGAGTTGAATGAGCCCAACATTAAGTCTGTAGGACAGTCTGGCACAAAGTTATGAGGTCACAAAGTTTGGTCCAATGTTAAGTCAATGGGGCTTTTCTGAATTTTCCAGGTCAGTTTTCAAAGGGCCATGAAACCCCCCACTTTTGGTTTAAGTCTACCTCAGAATTTTTTCAAAATATGCATTATAATGGTCGTGGAGCCCCGCGAGCAAAGGGCAGGAATAGGCTTGGCCAGCAGAGCAGGGGAGAAAGAGGGGGCGAACAACTATTGTTAGTCGGCTCATAAAATGAGAAACAAACCGTGAGGAGACGCATGATTTTATAGTTTACAAAGTTAAAACAGTAAACAGTAATTGACTGCCCTGCTACATTTGTTATTTGTTATTTCATACACAGATAACCACAATTTATATCATTATAAAGATAATCGTGTTCATATAAACACTATAAATGAGGAATTTTCCCTCAATCCCCGTGTCTGAATGCAGTCTCAGTACAGCAGGTCTCTTGTCCTGTCTATTTTAACCATTAGCCCTGCTTGTAATCAAGAGGATTTAGGCAAACACAGCAGCACGGCGATGTGTCTAAATGTGAACGAACTTCTGATAAAAGACAAGACTTGCTGTACACAAACAGCTTTGCTGTATCAGCCCTGACAGCATTGCGGGGAAGAACATGCAACAAACCCCATGGATCATGGAAATAAACATATACGACCCTTCATGAACGGCTAAATACTGGGTGCCGTGGGTCCATGGATGCGTCTCACCCAGTCATTAACATAAGATCTTACAGCTTGTCACTGGCAGGTCTGCCTTGCCTTCGGAAAGCACATGCAGTCATGAATAATTAAGAAGCAGGCTGTTCTCATAGGATAAGAAAACTATGAATAATAATGAGAAATTGACGCATCATCTTTGCATTTGCAGTTCTGCGCTACGTCGCCGATTTTGATTCCGCCCCAAAAATCGCAAAGCTAAAAAACTCGCAAGCCAAAATTAGCTGACAAAAGATCAAAATTATCCTCATAATAAAAGCTGACAGGTGCTAACATTGTCTTAACTGGTGCTCAACACACACAAATCTGTTAAAATAAAAAATAAAAAAATACTCTAGAGTTTCGTGAACCTTTAAAAACAAGTCAGATCAGTTGGAAAAGATACAGCAAACCGAGTAGTATGAACGGTCTAGGAGGAGATGCATATAGAAATTAGTCTCAGAAGAAGTTTATTAAGTTTATGTAGTATAACAGTGTGTTGGCTTTCTCAAGCCACCATAATAAAATGCTTGTTGCAGTACAAACATGCCTGAATTGGAAATATTTAAAACGATGTAATAAAAACAACAGATGAATGCAACAAAAAAACTGATTAAAATAGAATTTAAATAAAGAAATATGCAAGTGTAAAAATGGATAAAAAAGAAAAGAAGCTAATTCAAAAGAGTATTCATAGTTACTCATGCTAATATAGCACTGGCTATCAGTACACCTTTGACATTAACCAGTTGGCTGATTAATTAAAATTTCTGCCTTACTATTAATAATAGAAAATTAGTAACAAAAAATCAGCAAGTCTAATTTAATGGGATTTTCTCTGATGTTTCAGGACGTTCTGAGTGTTGCTGTAGGACCCAGATCTGATGATGAGGTTTTCACGGTTCGTCAGATTGAGTCTGTATTGGACAGGGTGGGACAAACACTTGGATGCCGAAAAGTAATCAGACCCCCATACAGAACACTTGTTATCCACACATCAGTGTTTTAATAGTTTTTCTTACTTTCTCCTCTTGTCCTGGTGTGTTTCTAGCGTCTCTCTCCGGTGGTCGAGCAGATGCTGTTGCGTTGTACTGTTCAGCTGGCCTGCAAACTTGGTGAGTGAAACTGAGAACAGTCCATAAAGTCAATTCTGATCATGATTAATATCCTCATGTGTGTATGTTTGTATCTGTTTTTACATGTGAAGTATCTGGAGAGCTGCCGCTGGTGTCCTCCGCCGAGGGGAACAAGAGACCTGATCTTCTGGAAAGGTTTCTGGTTCTGTGGTCTTGGACTCCCGCTCCACCTCTGCACCTTCTTCTCACTGAACCCACTTTGACTGCCATATTTACTGCTACCGATAGAGAGGTAAAAGCACTGTGCAGTTTTGCTAAGCTGTTGCATCCATATCCTCTTTGTAGTTAGTCAATATTAGGGCTGTGCAGTTAATCGAAGTCGAATTGAATCGATTGATAACACTGCAATTAGCTAATCGCAAGAGACTGCGAAATGAAATATAAATATATATTTATATATATATTAGGGGTGTAACTGTTCACAAAAATCACAGTTCGGTTCGGTTCGATACAACACAGTGGTGTCACGGTTTGGTACGTATTCGATACAGCAAAAAAAAAAAGAAAAAAGCTAGAGGATTTCTCTGATTTAATTTTTTTTTATGTAATAAAACTAACATTATAAAAGTATGATCCTGATTTTTTTTTTATTTTACTTTAAACATTGATAGAGCTATACTTCTAGGGTTTCTGCTTAGGAGCAAATAAAACAAATCCTTCTTTATACTCCAAAGCAAAAAGCTTCCTATAAAAAAAATTATATAATAATGTAGTAGTTAAACAAATAAAAATAAAAGAACAATTTAGTTTTTAAATGGAATTTCAATCTATTTTTAAGTATTTTTATTATTTTTTAGAAAGATGAGTGTCCACCTTTTCTTCAGACAGCACAGATCTGCTTGATTTGACGGTCACCTGCCATTTTAGTGGATCTGAAAGCAGGAATTATCTGACTGAAATGGGCTTATAAAGGAATAATGTAACGGGGCTCTATTACATTTAACATTTTCTTGAAACCTGAAATTTCCACTACCGATTAAGATCTAACAGGGCTCGAAATTAACCTTTTTTTCTTGGTAGCACCAGTGCTCATGACTTCAGAAATGTAGGCGCACCCACCAAAAATGATGAGCACCGCTACTACGCGTTTTATATTAACAGATTCTATTATATATTACCACTCTAATCACAACTAACAAATAAAAATGAGTTACAGATGTAATTACATGCAGGTATTTAATCAATCATGTATACATACATCTACACAAGATGTACATTGCAGTAAGGTATTCATTTCAGTGTAAGTACATATTACATACTATAAAATGGCATCCTGTTTTCTTCTGTAATATTGCAGAGGACTGACTACCTGTTCCTGATCAGACAGCTAATAGAGAGGGGTCTTTTAGGAGAGCAGGAAGTGGGTACAAACTGGGCAAAGTTGTCTGCGTTATCTTGGCCAGAGGTAATAATATGGCTTCCTTACATACATAACTGTTAGGCTGAAGTTCTCAAAAATCACTGATGTTTTCTTATTTTGTCTCAGGAGTCTGTTGAAAAGTTTCAGCAGCTATCTTTGGCCACCCAGTTCTCAATGCCACAACTTCCCAACCACAGGGATCTGCTGCAGGTCTCTCAGTGACCACTAGGAGGACAGATGAGTCTTTACCAGCTGGACACTTTAAAGACAGAAGAACACTATTGTAGTGATCTATGAATGATTTGTATTTCAACTTTCAACAAGATACTCTTTAATTCAACTATATATATATATATATATATATATATATATATATATATATATATACTTCTTTTTAAACAAAAACAAACTTATTTTAAAATAATTTTCTTGCAGGATCGACTAGTTGTTGCTATTTTGTAAATGTTTAAAGCTCATTTTAGGGTAAATTTCTGAGGGCTTTTCCAGGCTTCACTTATGCTGCTTCACAGTAGAACGAGATAAAGACCATTCACTGTGCTTGAGTTGTGTCATGAAATTCTATTTATTATTATTATTAGTGTTTGTACATGTTGTCAGTCAGTTAGTTATGCTCGTTTGTCTGTTTCTAATAGTCTTTACTTGTAAAAAAAATTGCACTTTGTTCATGTTGGATGATGTTATTATGTTTAATGCGAAAACTATCTTATGTAATAAACTATAATTTGGTGATTTATGTGAAAATTGATCGCATTATTGAAGTTATCGAAACATTCCGGTTTGCAAATTAAGCTTAATCAAAAAACTCAATGTTAACTCAAGCTATTTTCTCTTTACCTTCCTTAAGATTAAGTTTAAAGTTCATTTTGAGTTTGAGTTTAAGATCAAGGAGGCAACAAGACCGGTAATAGTTAATCAAGGCTTCTTTTGAAATTAAATCTAGAATGAAACTGATGGTTTAAACAACAGTTATTAGGTACATTTAGATTTTGTTCTAGAATTATGCACAATCCTTAATAATTTATCACACTAAATCTCTTACAATTCTTTCCCTTTGGTTTGTTTTTCCCCACTATTAGATCAATGCTTTTTTGAAGATTTTTTGAAATGATCAAAATATTTCATATTGAATAGAAATCTTTATACACGCCTACAAAAAACTATTGCATTGCATTTGAGAGAGAATTTGATTTTATTATGTACTTTAAAAATCTGTTTTATGTTATATTTTCTGCTGGCTTGAAATAACAAATAGCATGTATGTCATTTCAAACACTATAATCTTATTATATACATTTATTTAAAAGCTTTTATTATTATTATTATTAAAGTTCTTGTGACTTCAGTAGGTGTCAGTATAAGCGCGAGTTTCCAGCGCAGGTTTCTCTGCTTTGTTTAAAAGTTTAATTTAGGCAAATGACACATACTATTGTTAATAAATACCATATATGCTTACTTACTATGCATATAAAGTTGATTATGTAAAAGTAAATAAATAAATACAAAATCATAGAGACGTTCACTTTGTAGCCTACAAACCAGCCGCTGCCTTATAATAATCTATCCATTCACTAATACAACTGTACAATAATAAACAACTATTCACTGACACTTATACTGTGCCAAAATATCGGAAGTATCACCTTAAATCATTTAAAACATAATAATAATTTTAAAAAATCACAGAAAAGTCTGTGGCAAATAAACATACTCGTGATGCAATGAATCAAGATGTCATGCCACCGGAAATATCAATACACACAGTGGCATGTGCCAGTGGCAGCTGTATGTCAGATGTCATGTCACATGGATATGCTATAGGGTTTGGCCTGAGCTTTAATTTAAAAACAAATGTACTTCTTACACAATTTTATTTGTAATAACCAAAATATTTTATATGAAAATAAATCCTAGTTTTTCAGTCAGTGGTTTAACAATGTTTTGCTTTTCAGTTAGTCAGTTATTTAACAACAAAGGTTTTTTTTAAGGAATTACTGTGAATTTATTTCAGAATATAACACACCAGTAAGTCCAACATCAATATGGAAGCTACAACTTTAGGAAATAATATGTTCTTTAAAAATAGCAATCATCTACCCCTCCGAAAAAAAGCTTATTTTACTGATCCAACAGAGACATTTTGTAGGTAAAATTTGTTTCTCCAATAAAAAAAGATAGAAATTACAAGATTACATTGTCCCCTGTAATCTCTTATTGGAATAATCTAAATGGGAAAAATATGGTCGTTGCAACTAAAATATTTCCTCACCAATAAGGTCAAAGAAAGTATCTTTTAAGTTAATCAACAAATGTTATCCTATTAAACACTTTAGGGAAAAGTTTATTGTAATATTGATATAAAATGTTCATTTTGTCAATTTTTGTCATTAATAATTGTTATTTTGTTATTAATAATCAATAATTATGTTGTACATTTTAGGAAAGATTGTATCTTTTATTATTATACAACAAGATGTTTCTGTTACATTTAAAGATATTATTTTTGGTTATTATGGCTCTGTCTCTAGTAAAAGAAAAGCTTTTTTTGTTATACATTTCATATTCTTTGTAAACTTCATATCCACAAATGCAAATTTACTAATACTAAACCATATTTTCCTGTTTTGTATTGTTTTTTTTTTTAAATTTAGTCATTATTTCAATATAATTTCATTATCTGAAAATAAGAAAGCAAACAGAACTATTTCACTATGTAATGACTTTAATTTATTTACTGTAAATGATTCTTAAATGTCTTACCCTCAAGTTTATTTTTCTTTCTCTCTTGTATCTCTTTTCATTGACAATGCAATTCATATTCTGTATTGTATACAAATATTGAGACCGACATGTCAACTTTACTATTATTATTATTATTATTTTGCTAATTTCCCCTTTTCTTATAAGATCCCTGCTCCAAAACCTAGGTTCCAAACAAGCTTGAAGGACTCTGCAGCCCCAGTAACTGAGTTTGACACCATACATTAAAATATCAGAGTTGGGAGTTCATTCAAAAATCACTGACTTGGTGCAAAAGAAACATCTTATTATTATTTTTTTTCTTTTCAAAATCTGTTTTTCAACTTTGGGGTAATCATTTAAAACAACAAGATTTAAAAAAGCGCATTAACTCAAGATATAAATGTTTTGAAACATTTATTTAATTATAAGCGTCATTGTTGAATAATATCATTAATTAAATAGTAAAACTTTTGAACCATACACGAGGATGGAAAATAACGTTAGTTGTAATTATACACACGCGGAGATTGTCACGGTGCCTTCAGGCAGACGTTTCTTTGTTACTCGTGCTTAGATTCCTACTATGGCGATGACATTGCTCATGAATATTAAAAAGAAAGATAATTTTATTCAGCTGCAGATCCGCGAAAACAACCAAATCGAATTAATATTAAAAATCATGTCCTTAATCAAAATAGAAGCAGGAATTCTGCGAACCATTGCGCACTATAGAACCAACGTCATGCTGCTCTCAGATATTCATGAGCCACGCCTTCACCGTAGTAGGATCCGTAAGCTCTCCTCCCATAGAGACGGCAGGAAGTTTCAGCGCAGTTCAAGCGCAGTCGCGGCTCCACGATGTGCTCAGCGATTGTCTAGACGATATCAATAACATGAGCCGAAAAACTTCTCATGGCTTTCATCACTCTGCTCGGAATTATTCGGAGCTCTTTATGGATTTAATAACTGGACTTTAAAGGACAGCAAGACTTCAGTTCACAGTTTCTCTCCTCCCGGTGTCAAACGAATGGCCAACGTGAAAGTCGCGATTCGAGTCCGTCCACTGAACACCAGGTACAGCAATCTGTTTTAAATAGCATGAATTAACTGTAAAGATGCATGAGAGAGTGATGCGGAATGAAGCTGATAAACATCCTCGAGGTGTTGGTGCTGTTGCTATGTCAGGGAATAAACCTGCACTGACAGCCAACCGAAACTAGAACAAAACAAACAGTTAATTAAAACTTCTCCCTTATTATGCAAATCTAGGCTATATAGTGAAATAGATATATATTCGTAGATTTAACATAACGCATCAAGAATAAATTAAGCCTAAAAACTTTTCAAAACAATGCATAACCATGCTATAAAGGAATGCATGTATAATAATCAGTAAATCAGTTATATTGAGCTGCAATGTGCTTTTGTGCATGATAAAAATACTGTAATCTCCAAAACCTCTTTGAATCACGTTAAACCCTAAAAGTTATTCTTATCAAATGATTTTTAATATCTTGCAGCATCATCAGTAACATGCATGCTGTATTACACAAAAAGAAAGTTAAATGTGTGTTTTGCTTTAACATTTTAAAAAGGAAACTAACAGAGAGTTTGCCCTGCAGAGTTCACTACCCCACCCTCCAGCATTAGGCAAATTACTCCAGTATGTGGGTGCTGGACAGGGGGGTAAAGAAACTCCTCCCAGACTGACACACAAAGCTGTGTGCGTGTGTTTGGCCGGCGCTGCTTGTCTTGACATTTAAAGAGTCCCCTGAAGTGTGCTTCACAATGGACGACTTCATAGCTCCCCGTCACTATTGTGCAAATTAGGATGGCCTTTTAATAGGCAGACACTGGTTTTATCAGTGTGCGCACAATAAATCTGTGACTTTTTGCTTTTGTGAAATGCCATATTTTTAAAAAACAATTATTCCACCATTTTTTTTTTTTTTTGAGTTCAGCTGTTGGCAGGAATTGTGTGGGAATGGCAGAGAAATTCAACTTTGTACTCCTCATAAGGAGAGTTATTTCGTCTTTCCACTGATTATGTTATAAAATGAAGCGTTTCTAGGCAGAAGTATACACACACACACACACACACACACACTCTCTCTCTCTCTTGTGGTTGTGGGAAGGTCCTCCATTCATCAATTGCATGGTGAAACAGACCCACATGGTACTACACAAATTTGAAGGATGAGTCCATCACTAAAAGCTTTACAACTTCAGTTTCAAACATCAATATTAATTATAACCAATATTAAAGTGAATTAAACGTTATTAAAAGTTAACAATCAAAGTGTAAAACAAAAACAGTTAACAAAGTGTAATAAGTTAAGTAAGTATTTATATAGACCAGTGTTTCTCAACCACTCTTCTGGTTTCACTGCATGTTTTGGGTGTCTCCTTTGTCTGTCACGCCCATTGAAGGTCTTTCAGTCTCTGGTAATGAGCTGATGATCTGAATCAGGTCTGAGACATTGGCTGTTTCTCAATATGAGTTTTTGTGTTCTCATGTAATTTCATCATCAAGTGCTGAAGTTCAGTTCCAAAACTATGAACTTGCTCCAGAAGTC